TAAAAAATAATGACCAAAATACCCCTTGAAACTTTCAGGGATATTTTGATCATTTTATTTTATCAAAAATATTTTTAGTTTTATTTTTATATTTTTTGTTAGTGCGAATTTAATAGAAGAATGGACGTTCAAAATTTGGTGTCAAAATAGTTTATAGAAAAAAATAAAAAATAAAATAGTATAGAGACGTGACATTGTGATTGAGGCAATCTTAGCCCTCCATTAAAAATGGACGGTTAGATAAAAGGGAGTATAGAATTTCTATGTTGTAGGAGGAACATAGAAAGCTTTCCCATAAGATTTTCCTTTATAGGGAGTCAAATAAGGTAACTGATGCTCTTGCGAAAAGTGGTGCTTCATTGCCTTGGTAGTTGGTTTATAATAATGTAATTTCATTTTTGTAATTCTATTCTATTAATAAAAATAGTTAATAATGTTAAAAAGAGAAAAAGAAAGATCATGTACTTTTATGGGTAATTTGGAATTAAATCAAAATATATAGATAAGGTGTTAAGTTGTTCATCTCTAACAGGTAATTTGATAAATTTCCTGATTATATATATGACCATCAAGGGTTATCATCATCAAACCAATGAGGGGCGCAGAGGTCATGTTGCATAGAACTGAACAACTGCACTGTTTTGGTTGGATCTTCGCTCTCTCCATCACCTTCCAACCCATTAATTGAACGGTGATGACCCATGGAACCATATAGTTCATCTACTCACATGGACCATAGTAAAGACTTCAGGTCTCTTTACATTATATACGTCCCATGATTGTAGTACAAGGCACACAAAAAAGTCATAATTTTTTGAGATGAATGGATAAGAGAGGTGGTTACTTGGTTTCGTCACTTCACCAACTAACGCACGAGGCAATCGATTTAGAGAGAGAAAAAGAGCTGAGAGTGTACAGTGCTTGAGACAGAGAAAGGGTTTACAAACTGAGAGTTTAGAGAGAGAAAGAGTTTACAAAGTGAGAGTTTAGAGAGAGAAAGGGCTTCTTTCCTGAGAGGAGAGAGATTTGAGAAAGGGGTTTTTTAGAGAGAGAAAGAGATTTGGGAAAGGGGTTTCTAGAGAGAGAAAGAGATTTGAGAAAGGGGTTTCTAGAGAGAGAAAGAGATTTGAGATAGGGGTTTTTAGAGAGAGAGTTTTTAGTGGGAGAGAGAGTTGAAGAGAGAGAAAATGTATGTCTGTTCACTCTTTTCGCTTGTGATTCGCGTGAGGCCCACACCTGCAAATTCCAACCTCTTTTCTTTCTATCCATCTGTTATCCAATCTTCCACGCAAACAAAGTTCAACCTCAAAACAACAAAATCCCAAGCTCCTCTCTCTCTCTCTCTCTAGAAGTAAATAGCTCGCTTGACTGAATCATCTCTCTGGGGTGATTGGTTTTTATTGCAATGGGTGCTGCTTCTTCAAAGAACCCGGATAGCTCAAATGGGAACGATGAGAGAGAGGAGAATCTGGACCATGCAGGAGGGCAGCTCTATGTTTCCCTCAAAATGGAGAATTACAAGCTCAAGGGGGAGCTCATTCCCCATGTCTATGGCTCTGTTCCTCTTGTTGGCTCCTGGGATTCTTCTAAAGCTGTGAGTTTCTCTCTCAAAAAAATAAATTCTTTTTGTGTTTCCCTTTCCTATTTTTTCTGACGAAATTTCTCGTATATTCATATTCAGCTTAATTTACAGTTGTTTTAATGTACCAGTTGTTGCTTCCTTTACAGTTTAGTTTCAAATGAGGGGTGTTAATGTAGTGCAATACATCTTGTTTGATTGATTTGATATAGGTTTTTTGATTGGTTTTTGGGGTTCTAAAGTGGAGGTGGTAATTCCCTTCCTCTCTCTCTATCTGTCTAGCCTTTCCTTATTTGTTCTCTTTCTACCCTGTTAAGCTTGCTATGGAGCGAGAGTCGACCTCCATGTGGGAGTTAAGCTTTGTCGTCCCTCCCAATCATGGTATGTAATACACATTTATAGTAAATGGGTATTTCGAATTCATGTCATTTTCGTATTTATTTCTTACTCTGATCTTTCTCTATCTATCTCTATCATGGGCAACTGTTCTTTGTTGATTTTTTTTCTTGGTTCATGAATGAGCCATTACGTTCTTCAAAATTAGTTGGTGTTGGTTCTCCATTACAGAGACTCTGGATTTTAAATTTCTACTCAAACCGAAGTACAACAATACACCATGTGTTGTCGAGGAGGGTCCAAATCGTCTCCTGACTGGAGGGACTTTACAAGGGGATGCAAGGTTGGCCTTATTCAGGCTTAACGATGACGAGGTGCTAGACTATCGGGTTTTCATTAAGGCAGATAGGGTTTCTCCATTTGATCTTGCTGCCAGTTGGAGGGCTTATCAGGAGAACCTGCAACCTTCTACAGTACGAGGGATACCAGATGTTAGCATCAACGCTGCTCCTGCTACTGGTTTAGAGGTATGTCTTAATCAATTGGGTTTCGTTTTCTTATTTTGTTTTATCTCACTCGAAAATTTCAATTCTGAGCATGTTGGGAATAGGGAATCTCATTTCTCGTTTCTTGTTCTATATGTGTACATATCTTCTATTGAATTGCAGCTATCCTGTAAACTTTTGCAGTTTAATTTTAGAATTTGGTCAGGGAGGAGATTGATAGAATGTTTAGCACAAGGCATATGAATATATCAATTGATCACATAAATTCGTCATTGATGCATATACTAGCTTTTTGCAGCTTTAGTTTTGCATAGCTTGGAAACTTATTCTTCCACACATGGTTTTCACATTCCCCTTGAATGCTGTCTAGGTTGAGTCTTTTTCTAGAACCATGCAGTAACCAGATCCTTTTTCAAGTTTTGCCAGAGTGTCCTAACTTTTCCAGGACAACATCACTCTTTGCATATTCGATTCATTTTCCAGATCCTTGTTAGCTATTGTCCTTTGATTTGCCTAAACCTTACATCAGCAGCCTATGAATTTTATATATTGTTTTCCACGTTGTCTGCAAAATTCATTGTCCCTCTCACCACTTGATTAGCTAATTTCATTGATTCTTGGTAAATTTTTTGTACGAGCCATACTTAACTAAACAAGAAGAAACAGAGCAAAGAACTGGGGAAAATTGGCGTGTATAATGTAGATATCGCCTTAAACCCCGGAACTACTTAGTTGCAACTGAACTATCCGCCACTAGGTTAGCCTCCTTTGGAATACAGACCATATTACGAGTTTATGACTACCACAAAAATGCGGAAATATTGTCAGAAAATCTCAAAACCTCTAAAGTTATCTTTTCAGCATATCCATTATAGACGGAAAGTTTTTCTCGTCTCTGGGTAAGAATCACCAATACACAGGGAAACATTTTCTGGTCTTTTGGTAAGAAACACCGAAATAAAAAGAACATGTTTCCCTTTGATGGTGAAGAGATTCTTGTATATCTTAAAGTATAAACACATTCTTTGGAAGGATGCTTAAAGGTTTTAACTTGATGGTGTTGACCTTTTAGGAATGGGATCAAGGCATAGGTGGTCAGGGACGTGGTTGCCACAACGTGAGTTCCATTGCTATCATGGACAGGGGACCCTTTCTCCATTAAACTGCCCCCCTAGCCCAAAAAAAAAGAAAAAAAGAAAAAAAAAAGAAATAAAAAGAAGATAAAATGTAAGCAAATTATGACATCCAGTTTCAAAGAGAACAACTAATTCTCATGCATATTGCTTTATAATTATGTAGAAGTGAGAACATATGTATAGTCATCCCATCAAATCTTATATTCATTGGGCTAAAAAAACCTATGCTTATGGTGTGTTTCAATTTTTGTTTTGTTTTGTTTTTGAGATTGTTTATCATAGTATTAGGGTCAAACAAGTGATTCTAACATGGTTTATGAAGGTGTGTTTCATTATATTGCTATAAGACAGTTGCATGAAATCACTCCAGATATATATTTATGTCTGTGTGTATGTACATAATTCTGTAAATATGTGAAAATACTTAATGAACAATGTATGTTTGAAGTTCTTTTCTTTAGTCACACCTAATTTCCTTCTGACCTCAATGAAGCATGGCGTATTTTCCTTCATTCGTTTCTTTTTTCACAGAATGGTCTCGCAGCAACATTGGAGCTTGATTTAGAACATTATGTTGTTCCGGCTCCATCTTCCGGTGCAAACTCAGGAGTGACCTATGCAGCCAATAAGACAGAGACTCCAAGATCATTGACTCGTTCTGGTGTCTTTTCTAGCTTTGATGCAGTGAATGGTAGCTCTTATGTAACTAATAACTCAGGTTCAGTAACTGTAGATCAAGCTGTGATTGGGAAGGTATTTCTTTGCAACTCTTTTCCCATATCTTCCTAGATTGGACTCAGACCATCTCAAGTTAAGAGGCCTTAACATTGTTATGGATTGAGGTTCTAGATTCCATTAGTTGAGCTTGGGAAAGAAAATTCATGCTTGTTTATAGCTATGTTAACTGGCAGTTTTAGCCTGTGCAATGCCTGCCTGTTCTTTTCCAAATAAATGTTGGGAAAATTAAGGACCAAACTCCATCTTTTGAGCAGTATATGTAGCCTTTGTAACTGACAACACCTGCAGAATGTCTCATGGGAGTGGGAATGTGAAACAAGGCAGTTTTTCAATAAACTGCCAAGGTACTAGTACCTTAAAAGACTGACTACTGGGGCAGGAATGCTACCCATGTTGAAGGTTCGTGCAACCCCCATATAATAAAAGAAAATATATCTTTACATAAACAAATATGCTTGGTAATCATGGCCCCAATGCTCTAGAAAGACCTGGATACTTTGGCTGTGATTTTTCTCCTTCCTGCTCCTCATAGGAGAAGCGAATGATGTTGAAATCTCCACCAATGCAACAAGGGTAGGGCTAAGAATGCTCACAACAAGCTCCTTCACAAAGTACTGTAATATCATGGGATGCAAATGATTGTCTGATTGAATTGTCCTCATTATCTATCTAAACTTGCCCCAAATCACCAAAAGGCTTCTTAAGTCTCCAATAGCTAGAAGGGTCATGCAGACTACAAGACCTCTGCTCTAGAGGGCATTAATGAACCTATCAGAAACTCTTAATTCTCGGTTTCATATATGGGCAAAATATTTACTTCTGAGGTGTCGTAGACCCCTAATATCCCATGAGATCAACTTCATGCAAGGTTTTGGGTTTGGTCTCCAGTCTGCACCCCTTTTCATGCCCTGCCTTCTACCAAGCAGCCCACCTTGCCTTCTACTAAATAACCACCCTGCCTTTATCTTGACTCTTTAAAGAGAATATTGGGAAAGGGTGTAGTGTCTTTTATGGAAGTCTCTAAGGCGGCGTTCGATAGTTTCCCTGCAAAATGGGAGGCTATAGAAATTGAAGCCTTGAAAGCTAGGATGACTTGTTTGGATTCCCTGGTGATTCCTTTGGTTAGAATTGGGCGCCTGGCAATCTGGAATTGAGCTGTTTTAACTGTTCATTACATAATTCGTCAATTAGATGTTGAAAGTTGTCTCTTGAATGAGAGTTTTCATTAAGCCACTCACAACACTTGTTATAAAAGGTCCCTAAAAAGAAAATTGGTTATACAATGGATGGTCCAATTAATTTTGCTTGACTCAAGTAATTTATAAGTCTGTGTGTGTGTGTGTGTGTAGTTGGGTTTTCTCCTTATGTACAGCTCGAATTCCCTACTTCTAGCATTCATATCTTAATAAATATGATTTTTCTCAAAATTGAAATTGATCAATTTTGTAATGGGCAATTAGTGGCACAAGCTCAACAAAAAACTAGTGTGAAAATTTCAAAGCCCTATCATATATGATTTCATCTCCTATAATTTTATTTCAAATAACTATTTAAAATAATTATACCTCAAACAATTCACATTACATCTCCTCTATGCTACAAAGTATTGGCAAACAGACCACAAATAATCTATTGCATGAAAATTTCTCAAAGGAACCAAGAGCCTATCAAATGTTTGACATTGAAAAGTTTAAAATATTTGATGCAAGAGAGATGCCAAATAGCACAGCAGCAAGGTGCTGTGGTTGGGCCATGGTGAGAGAATTGGTAAAACCACTTCCATGGATATTTTTTCTTCTATATGAGAATCTTTGTCCATAAGTAGAGCATCACATAATTTTGCTACTGAGGTGATGTTGTTGCTGAAGTGTTGTTAGATTTAAGAATATATTTTTTCTTTTTGTTGAGTTTGTTCCAGGATTTACTGTGCTAAGCTTTCCTTTATTACGAATTTCGTAGCTATTTATATAATTGCTGCATTATGTAATGCTAATATGATGTCTATCTTTGATGCATAAATAATTTGATTTGATGTCAAGAATTCATGTAGGATATGGAGGTCATGATTCCAGATTCTTCCAGAATTCCTGTATCTCCTGGCATGATAGAGTCCAAATCAGTAGGGACGTTTACATCCATGCAGAAGCAGGACAGTCACAGGGGACTCTTTGTGGATAGGGGAGTGGGTTCCCCTAGGCTTGTCAAATCCGCTAGTTCAACTAGTTTCAGTACTGGTGGAGAACTTAAAATGGATTCAGAAGCAAAGGTTGGTATTCTTGGCATAGAAACATTGGCATCTTTGCTTGTATATTGCTTTTATTGGTAAGAGACACATTGGTGCTTTCTCTTGCTATACAGTTTTAACTTCTCTGGTTGTCTTTAACTTACATCAGAAACCACACAATACACGACTTACATGTTTCTCTCTTCTGAATTTTCATTAAACATGCACTTGTTTGTTGTAAAAAAGCATATACCAGATTGACTTCTGTAGCTTATAATGGGGCCTTTGATCTCTACAATATGAAATGTTACTTACTGACTACATGGGATTGCCTACATTGAGATTTTCAGAAACCTATTTTCATGGATACCAAGCATGATGGTCTAGGTCTCTAATATTTATTGCTCTTTACTGCAAAAACTTTTGTGCTTTTTGTATTTGGGGTGAGTTCTTACGGTCTTGTTTGTTGTAATGACAGAAAGTTATGCCAGCTGCAGCTGGTGCTGTTGCAGCAGCAGCTGTTGCAGATCAGATGCTAGGACCCAAAGAAGATCGCCAAGTAGCCATTGTGCTGGTATATATTATGCTACTGTCTCTGGAACCTTTTCTTAAATATTGTCTCCACCATTCCAAATGTATTTTATTTGTATTATGAAGTTAATTTTAATTGTAGGAATAGATAACTCCATGAAAGAAATTGCATAGATAACTCCATGAAAGAAATTGCACTCTTTTTGTATGGTAAGGTCCTGCATATAGATGACTTCCTATTGAAATATGGTCTCTTTCAAGTTTTTTGACAGCGGTTTACACAACCATTACTATCTTCTTCTGGTTGTAGGTCGGCTTGCCCGCTCGAGGAAAGACTTTTACTGCAGCCAAGTTGACTAGGTACCTTCGCTGGTTGGGTCATGAAACTAAGCACTTCAATGTTGGCAAGGTAGAGATTCTTCCACTTGCTCTATGTTTGCCTGTATCTTTCTGACCTATCTTCTTTGCTTATTCACTTTCTGTCCTGTTTGGAAGTTGGCAGTTCTTGAGTTTTGAATTAAGAATGATTCTTTTTCTGCTCTTTCTTTGATTAACAGTATCGGCGACTCAAGCATGGAACTAATCAGGTATGCTTCAAAGAATTTTCCTTAATTTCCATATGGTATGTAGAGCAGGTGGGCTTCCTAAGTGCTGCTTGAAATATATGGATTTCAAATGATGAAATATATGGATGCTACATGATCTAATGAAGTATTAATGTGGCTATTGCTGTATGCTCTTTTTCCATCTCTGGTATAAAGCCACTAATTTCCTCCATATTTTTCTATACTTTTAAGTGCCTAATTATTTCTATTATTGGATGAGGAAAATTCTTTCCTCTTAGCATTGCCTCTTCCTCTTACTGGTCATATTATCTTTATTTTATTTTCAGCCGAGTTGTTTTGGCATATATTTGTTTCAGTTATTCACTAGCATCGGTGTTTTTCATCTTGGTTTGTTTGTCTTCCCCATCTTCCCCATTAATATTAACTTTATGCACAGGAGCGTGACCTTTCTTGAAGAAGGAAAAGAAAAGTGGATTTCTTGCCTAAAATTTGTTGTCATCATTTGTAGGTCCAATGACCAAGTTTTCTTTGATGAATTGCAGGAGCTAGTTAAGTGAGTGCATCCTATTAATGTCTAAGGACTCTCTAGATGCCATCCCAAAACATGTTTTGGCGCTGGTGGGGCAGCCTTTTAGGTGATGCCTAGTTTGTGGTTGAGTGACTGCTTTAAATGCAACTTTAGAATCCTATTTAGTTGTGGGGGCATACGAACAGCAGTGCTGTTTTGTGGGTAAGATGAAAACTGAAAATACCAATTTTCACATCACTTGCAAAACACCCCATTTTGTTGGATCTCAGAACACAAATTGACCAACAAGTATTTTGCCGACAAACTAGGCATAATTTGTTCTGTATCATTTTTTTCTGTGGCTAATGCATTGAGAGGTGTACATCATGTTGCACCAAGATACTGTTGTCAGAAGAGCGGACATTAAAGTTAAAAGCATGCCAGTGGAAAATATTGCCCTTTCATTGGGGCTTCTTTTATCAGTGCCCTCTTTTGCTTAGGTGTTGGTTTCTCCATTAGCTGATTTGAGGCCACCATCTGGTTACTTTTTGGTCTGAGGCTAATCTCACAGTGCTACGGAAGTGGCCTAGTGTGAAACCTCACCACACAAGTATTCCACTTAGAAACCCAACTAGCATTTCCCACTCTAAACCTTACACCTCCAATTAGCTCAAGCCATAACGCTGCCATCTCCACCCCAACACTCCTGCTGAACGAAATCCTTAGAACAAACCACCTAATCGGTCAAAGCTTTTCTTTATCAAATAGATGCATTATGTTTAGAGACAATGTCAAATCAGTAAACGATCTGCTGAATCTTCGAACACCAGTCTGAAAAGGTTTCCAACGTTTTCGAAAAGTTGAGGCCCTCCCCCACACCAAAACATGGGCCTCATACTTTGGTGCACAATTTTATCTATCATCTGGTTGACCTGGCTTTAGAGGAATCGATCGAGTCTTCCATGGCTGAGCCCTCTACATCTCTTCCTCGATTGAAACAATAAGGCCCAAATAATCAGATGGTTGACAGCGAGAAAAGAAATTTAGAGCATGAGAACACAACACAAAGCCAACATTGGAGTGCCTTTGTTTTGGAGCTGACCACCAAACATACCGATTTGTGAAGTGGGATCTGCCTGCTTGGAAGCATGGTTAACCTGCATTTTATTGACAGCTTTCTTGGCATTCTTGGACTCGCGGGGGGCCCTTCAAGCATTAAGCTGAGGTGCCATCAACCCTCTTGTGTACAGCAAGCTTATGTGATTCCAATGAGCCGGATTTACGAGTCCTCTTGGCTGGTTTAAGGTGGGTCGTTTCTGCATGAAATCGAATAGGGTTAGAAGAGAATTCATCCAATGTAATCTCGAGAATCCAAAAGAGTAGAATGTCCATGGTGAATTGGGTCTTCTTTGGTGAAATTTTTGACTCATGCGGCAATTTTGAGGGTCAGCATTGAGCCCGTATCTCTTTGTCTTAGTTATGGATGACTTAACTAGGCACCTACAGGATGTGGTATCGTGGGGCATGTTGTTTACAGATGATATAATTTTGATTGATGAGACTTGTTTGTCAACGCAAAGTTAGAATTTTGAAGGGATGCTCTAGAATCCAAAGGTTTTACAATTAAGTCGGACTAAGACAAAGTATATGGTGTGTAAGTTTAGTAATAATAGGTAGAAACGAGGAAGTAGTCAAGATTGACAGCCAGGAAGTACAAAAAGAACTGCACTTCCGATATCTTGGGTCAATAATCCAGAACAATGGAGAGATCGAGGAAGATGTCACACACATAATTAAAGATGGGTGGGCGAAGTGGAGATGTGCAACTAGAGTTTTATGTGATCGCTGAATACCAATGAGGGTGAAGGGCAAGTTCTATAGGACAACGATGAGACTAACTTTGCTCTGTGGGGCAGAATGTTGGGTGGAAAAAAAACAATATACTCATAAAATGTATGTAGAGGAGATTAGGATGTTGAGGTAGATGAATAGCAAAACAAGAAGGGAGAGAATTCGAAATGAATCTATTTGAGAGAATTTAGGCATGGCACCAATAGGCGATAAAATGAGAGAGAGCATACGTAGGTGGGCTGACCATGTGTAGCACCTACCAAGTACATCACCTGTTAGGAGGTGCAAGTTAGTTCAAGTGGAAGGACTGAAAAGGGCAAGGGGTAGGCCGAAAAGGATGTGGTTGGAAGTAGTCCAAAAAGATATGGGGACTTATGGCCTCACTGAGGATATGGCCTTTAATAGAGCAAAATGGAGAATCAGGATTCATGTAGCCGGCCCCAATTAATTGGGAAAAGGTTGCAATGATGATGATGATGATTCAAAAACATAAGTATGGATGTTAATGAAATATGCAACTTAAAAGTGAAGGAACTCTTTCCTTGGCACAAGCAGTAATTGTTACTAAAACCATGACTAACATAACTATATTATTTTATTAGAGCATTGTATGCATTAATTTTTTTTATAGATGTTTTTGTGAAAGTTGCACTTCCTGGCTGCCGTTTTGCTAATGAAAATAAGAGAACGAAAAAATTGAAATACTAAATTCTTGATCCCCCACCATACTTGCCCTTTGCAATTGTAATTAAAAGACCATCTTCTCCTACTGTAAATCTCCAGTGCCACTTGCCTAGTAGGGTCTTATTTTTCGTCCTTTATGTCCTAATCCTCTGGCCTTCATGCTCATTTACAAATGGCCTCTACCTGCTTTAAACTTCCTCCATTCACTGTTCCCTTCCTAATAAACTTCAGCTGAATCCTCTTGAGATTAATGGCTGGGCCATTTGGTGTTTGGAAGAGGAAGATATGGATGGAAATTTTGGATATTAACTGAAGGTGGTATTGGTTGGGGCCTTTCCTAAATTGCGCCTACACCATTTGTGTCTCGTGTGGGGAACCATATTTAGATTCAAGATGAGCGAGCTTAGGCTTGGTTTTCAACCTCCAGCTCAAGTGGCATCGACTGGCCTACTACTCTCTCAAGTTTTCTCTCTCTTCTCTCATTTTGTCTGACTCTTCCTCAAAATAAAAAGGAAAAAAAAACTCCCTTCTAAGTATACAACCGCACTCCATGCCCTGATTCTAACATTATTTAGCGTCTTGAATTTATCTATATTTTCTCTAGAGTTGTGCAAGAACTCCGAGGATACACAAGGGTTGTGGCTGAAGATATTGCGCAACGAAGGGTCGATTCCGCTTTGAAATCTCTCTCTTGCGCTCTAGGGAAGGGAATATCGCTCGTTTGTGATTTTTAGAATTTTCGAATCTTGATCCTTTCTATTAGGGATCATGATCCTGAGTTGTAGAGCTCTAGAAACGTGGACTCCCAGTTTGTAATTATTATATTTACATTGAGTTCTCTCTATCATTTGGCTTCAGAATGTCAAATTTTTTGTAAGTTGTTTAGTCATCATGGACAACAAGATGTGCCTGAGTAGGAACAGCCCCCCAAGAAGACACCCAGGCTTTCAACTTTTTTTGCCCATCTTCTATGTACAACACCGAACTACATGTATTTACTACGAGCAATGCTAGAAAGAAACTGTGTGTTTATGTTACATTGGGCTACATTGAGCTGCATGTCTTTTGTTTCTTTGAACTCTCAAAACAGTCATTTGACATCTTCTGCTGTTCAGGCAATACTTTCTGAACTAACTAGACGAATTCATGCAGATGATTGTTTCTGTCAAAATGGCATTGAAATAAGATTAATTTTTCCCATTCATTTGTTTGCATGGATAAAAAACCTTTCTGCTAGCATCAGCTAATTGTTTTTCCCTTTTGTGATAGAATTATCGTAAGATGTCATTGAAGCTTTATACGTTTGACTGCAGTCTGCTGATTTCTTCCGAGGCGACAACCCAGAAGGAATAGAGGCACGTAATGAGGTAAGCTCTATCAAGGAACATCTGATAGGATTGGGCAAGGAACCTTTATAGATATCTTTCTGGCCAGTCCATATTTATCTCATCGCAATACACCATATGTAATAGCTATTTCTTAGTTCAAAACTTGTTAAGAGGGATGAATGTTAAAGACATTTTTAATGGTTCAATAGATGCAGAAAACATTTCAGAATTATTATACTCTTAATGGCCCCTCTATTAGAGAAGAATGGTGAACCGGGATCCATGTAGCTGACCCCAATTAATTGGGAATATGTTATGATGATGATGATGATGATGATGATGGTGATGATGGTGAATTGCCTAATTGCAATAGTGGAAAAACTGTTTTTAAGTTTTGTGATTTGTATGCTGACTCTTTTCCCTGCATACTTAGTATTGCCCCTCTTTTCATACATTTGCTGAATGTATGGCATGCATTCAGGTAGCTGCCCTGGCAATGGAAGACATGCTATCCTGGATGCAGGAAGGAGGTCAGGTAAGAACCATTGCCTCTCTTTGTATAATCTACATGCGTGTGTAGACTTATCCTTGTTTGTTTTACAGGTTGGTATTTTTGATGCTACTAATAGTACCAGGAAGCGAAGGAACATGCTCATGAAAATGGCTGAAGGGAAATGCAAGGTAATTTAGTAGAACTAATATGACACAGCATATCTTTGTATGCGTGATTACTATTGGCAACCATACAAATAATTCTTGAAAGTGTATTATCAGGGGTGCTACTCTATGATTTGAGTGGGTTAAATAAAAAAATACTCCAATTTAACCGTTCCATCATAGTCACTTAAGAGGGTCAATACTTTCAAAGTGTGCCATGCGTTATACTGCAGAAAAAGTCCTAGGGAATGCCAAATTTCATAACCTGCTTCTTTTACCTTTGGTGATGAATTGAGCAGTTTTTCCTCATTGGTTATAGTTATGATGTTTCATGTCTTGAGATTGTACTTCGTCGACTATAATGTTTCATGTCTTGAGATTGTACTTCGTCGATCCCTTGCTGTGGATTTTGGCAAGTATCAAATGACCTTTGTTTTCCTTAAAGTAAATGTTCCCCTTTTGTATTATTAAATATTTTTGCATTAATTGTTGAATATTAGAATCCTCTCCATTCATGAAACACTTGTGTAGTTTTAAGAGGCGGAACTTGATGTAGAACATTTCTCAAATGTTCTCGATAAATACTAATCCTGAAATTAACAGGAAAGAAATAAGCAAATACTTAAATAAGGTGTGCTTATGGTGGCATGCCATCCCATGGTTCTATGCTATTCTTATTTGCAACCCTGTTAGCTAAACAATTTGTCGTCATATTAGCTTTTCATTGAAATCTCATTGGTTTCTATCTCTTTATCACTTTCCTTTGGCTGATAGCTAACAGCACTCTATTTGCAATATGTTTGTGTTTTATGTTAGTGACTAAGATTCCTAATCCACATTCCTTTTTTGTGCTACAGATAATATTTTTGGAAACAATTTGTAATGATGCAGCTATCATTGAGAGAAACATACGTCTGAAAATTCAACAAAGTCCTGACTATGCTGAAGTGTGAGTGGGCACCATATGCATTTGTTATTGGATTAGGGTTTCCTTTTCTGCATGTGGTTTCACATTTTCATTTATAACCACTTAATATTCCTAATATTGAATTACTTTCTCTGCAGGGCAGATTATGAAGCTGGTCTACAAGATTTCAAAATACGCTTAGCCAATTATGAGAGGGTAGTTATTTTGTGATTCTTGTTTGATATTGAATTGATTTGGTGGGATCCTCAAAGTTGCCTACCTTGTATCCAATGAATATTTGTATGTATTCATTTTATCAGGTCTATGAACCCGTCGAGGAGGGTTCTTATATCAAAATGATAGATATGGTTAGTGGACATGGTGGGCAAATACAAGTAAGTCTGATCCTCTCTATCTGCCTTCCCCAAATATTATACATGCTTATAATTTTTAGTTATGTTTGTGTATTAACTAGGTAGTGGATTGCAACCATACTTTCGGTCTTCTGTATATCCAACTTTTGTTACTCTTTGGTACAAGTAGTTGTAACATGTGGTTTTGGTTTCTATGCAAGGGTTTAAAACTCAGCTTGGCCATGGAACTTGGCCACGGACCAGGCCTAGATACTCGGTTGAATCCAAGTCGACTCACCCAAGTTCGTGCCAAGCTGGGAAAGAGCGAAATAATAAAAAAAGAAAAATAATGAAAAGATCCTGAAAATTTTTTAAAAATAGGAAAAAGTAAAGAAAAGGATAAGCAATGGAAAAGTATACAAAGGATAAGAAAAAGATTCTTAAAAAGTAAAGAATAGAAAACTGGTTAAATATCATTTTCTCAGAATAAGCGAGAAACATAGGAAAATAATAAAATATTAAACATCAGACTTATAATTTATCCAATCAAATATTATAGCAATTATATATACATATATATATATATATTATAATTACTTTAATCAACTTCTACATGCCCCCAAAATTTTGGGGGACTCTACCTGGCCTGAGTTACTCGGCCCCCTGTTTTTTTATTTTTATTTTTTTATTTGGGGGGGGGGGGGGGAAGGACAGCAAATCTCTCTGTGTGGCCCAAGTTACTTGGGGCTAGTCCAAATCGACTTGTCCGTGTAGTCAAACATTGTTTCTATGAATTCCCTTGACCTGCACCTCATGCCTGTGCTTGCTTTTTTGCTTGAAAAGTGAAATGTGAAACCTTTTTGTACTTGGGGTTCGGGCGTGACAAATTTATAGTTGACTTCTCTAGGATTTTCCTTCCTAAGTATTGGAATGAAATTTTCTGAGGAATAGAAAGTCCAATCTGCGGTATTTGAAGCCATACTTCAAGAATGATAGAAGTTAGCTTCAATGACCAGTGGCTTTTATCACAATATTTTATTGAATAACTGTGACTGTTCCAAATATAGGAATATTTAATGCGTTTGACTGCATAAAAAGAAAATAGACTTGCATGAATAGGGAATTTAATGCTTTTTTTTTACCGGATGATCTTCCATGATGAAGCAAAGGTCTGGTGTATGGGGAGTTTATTTATATTGCTTTGTTTTGATATTCACGTCATTGTATTATATCAATCATTGATAAATGCTTAATGAGGTATCTGGTCAAGTTCTAGTTTGACAGTGGCATGTCTCTTTCTGTTATATACTGGTTAGCAATTTTCCTTATTTTTTGTCCTAATGTAGAGTTCCTTTTCCTAAATCAGGTCAATAATATCAGTGGGTATCTCCCTGGAAGAATTGTCTTTTTTTTGGTATGGCTTGGATTCCAGAAATTGCTTCTTGAAGTTTGAGACACTCATATGCTAGTTTTCTTTGTTTTGCCTGCCTTTCATTGCGTTATGGGATTGCTTTTCATGGTGGAAATATCTAAAGTTAGTACATTGAACTATAAAGTTAAGATCTTCTAGTCTTGGCTTTCTACCATGATGAAAGGGAAATGCGATTAACTTTGACTGGACCTCCAAGCATATTCTTTTAGTTTCTTTCCTTTCCGTCTTGCTTTCTCACATTAAGAAATAACAAAATTGCTTTTTGTTTTTTTTAAAGAAAAATTTCCACTTTTCATATTCAAAGATCATTATCCTCTTTTTAAGAATTTGTCCTTCCACTATAATTTTCAAACAAACGGATATTAACAGTAGCTGGAGATATCATGAAACTAAGGTTGGTGTCATGCAACTGAGATTTAACCTGAAGAAGCGTAGAAGACTAGTGTCAAGCATCAGATAGTTTTTATACAAGTGCATATTTTTTTTAATGAATATTACTTACACAAGTTATTATAATAACATCAGGCACAGTCTATTAATCTAGACATTATTTTTTCTTGAATGTTATGGGTTGCAGTGTCTCTTGGGGAACAATTGATTGTTTCCTTTAAATCCTTAGCTAAAGTAGCCTTGATAAGAGTGAGTCTCCCGGCCTTGGAAAGGAATCTACCTTTCCAACCTGCAAATCTAAGTTCAAACTCATCTAGAACCCTACTCCAAAGGGAAAGGCGAGGCATTCCCAAACATAATGGCAGGCCCAGGTAAGAGGATGGGAGTTCTTCGACTCCACACCTACGGTGGCTAGGGACTGCACCACGCTGAAATCAGTACAGACGCCTATTCTCTTGGACTTGGCTAGGTTAGCCTTGAAGCCCGTAGCCATTTCGATGCACTTGAGGAAAAGTAAGAATGGTTTTGACCTGTAGGTGTGAGGGATCACAAAAGACCAGGGTGTCGTTTGCGTATTGAAGGTGGGATATGGTAGGGCGAATCCTTTGGGGGATCCGTTAATCATAATAGAGAAAACAGGATTAGACATGCAGCCTCGGTTCCAAGTCCTCCATTTTGGTTTGAAAGATATTCTCCTAAGAGTCTCATCTAGAATGGACCAATCCACATGATCATAGGTCTTCTCTCAGTCAATTTTAATTGCTAACCGTGGAATTTTGGAAGCGGAGCACGAGTGGATGCACTCATGAGTTCTACTTGTGATTTCAAATTTTTGGCTAGCGTGAAACATAATTCCCTCACTGTCAACAATGGTTCTTTCTCTATTATCTACCAACACTCCTAATCAACATGTGGTTTCTCTATTATCTACCAACACTCCTAATCAACATGTGGACCTACCCATCCTTATTAGTTCTTCCTAGTCTTCCTTTTTTATCTCTCCACCCCCCCCCCTTATTTCCTCTGTTTTATATTTGAGCTTATAAAATCTTTATCCAAGCCTTCTGTTCTGCAGTTACTATGAAATATATAATAGATACATCCGAAAATCTTTCCTTCCCCAGATCCCCTAAAAATATATTTTTGTTACAGTGCCTATTCACATCATAATGAGCCAATTTTGTTTTCTGATACGAATAGAAACTATGGTGTGTAATGAGAACTAAGACAATATAATTAATAAGGTAATACTTTTAATTTTTCTGTAATAATTTTTGAATTTTCATATTTATATGGTTTGTATTAAATTTTTTTTTATGATATACTTCATTTTTTTCTTCTGGTCATATTTTCTAATTTCCTACATGACCTAGTTGAGTCAAATGGTTGGTTCATGGGTAAACTTGAGTTGAGTTTCCGGTTGGCAAACTACATGGCAAAGTACCACCCCCCTGAATATTGCTCGGAACCTAAGCTGTTTTGATTTCTTGAGCTAAAGAGAATAGTTCCTGTCAGTAGTTCTAATGGACAAAAAAATAAAAAATCTTTTGAAGAAAGATATGGAACCTTCTAAGATGGTTTCTTTATGGGATGCAAGCATTCCTCTCGACATTTATTATATATCTTCTGAACAGTTTTACCAAAGAAAATTTAATATTGTTTTCTCGTAATCAACTGTAGGTCAATACTCATTTGACACCTCGTCCTATTTTGCTTACTCGCCATGGAGAGAGTCGTGATAATGTTAGAGGAAGAATTGGCGGGGACACAGCTTTGAGGTGTGTATTGCTCAGATTTCATCAGATTTTCACTCACATATATGTATTCCATAAAGTTTTGACTCTGGGAATGTCTTGTCCTAATTTAGGTAGTCCATATGAAGTTATTGTGTACTCCTTATTCTTTCCAGAATTGTGCTAAATTTCAAACAATTAGCCATATATTTGAAAGAATTTGAAAGTAGTTATTTTTTCTTGTTCAAAAGAGGCATCTAATTTTCTTTAGGTTAATAACCATGTTTGATCTCTTGAACTTGAGAATATAAACCACAGTTTGGCCATTGTATGATGTAGATTAACAATGCACATTCATTACCAGCACATAGCAGGAAAGAGGTCTGAATTCAAAACTTAAGTAACAAGAAAGGTGGAAACACCTGGTAAGTTGAGAATGAACTGATTATAAATTATATTTCCCTTTGTTAAAAATATGGCAGAAACCTGTGCTATATATTGGCTCATTTATTCATTATTCATCTTGATAAAAAGACTCTTAACTTCCTGATATCGAGATGAAGAGGGACCTACAACAGTACACTTTCATATGTGGGACTAAACTCACCACATACAATAGATAACATAAATAATAATGACATTGCAGTGGATTTGTATATTTTGATGTCCCCATACAAACTCAACATAGGGCAAACATAGAAATTGATAGATGATGCTGTGCGAATTGAAGAAAGAGAGAAACCTTCGCTAATGACAGCATCAATGTATATGTTGAATTTTCAATCTGCAGCATTTGTGGTTTGATATATGTGATGCGATTTCTTTAGACAGCAACCGTTCTATGAAAGTTTCCAACTTCAAAATAAAACTGGCCCTCAAATATCATAATGGAAAATGGTTTGATAGAACTGCAGCCCTTTCAAAATAAGTAAAGCCTCACCTTATAACTCATCAAAAAATTGCAATTCAAGTGTTGAAAAATCTTTGAATCGATCATCTCAGCTTGAGCATTATGGTTGTGCAAAACAATTAGGATTTCAAATTTGAAAAATAGTGTATATTGGACCAAATCATCTAAACCATCCATTTTACCCTAAAAATAAGTGTTCATAGATCCGCAAGATCTGTACCATTTTTTTAGTTTAAATTTTATTGCCGATGTTGGAGATTAATTTTAGAGCCATCATGAAGATTTCGATGCCGAAAGTGCTTTCTGGATGAGGATTTGAGGTGAGGCTTTATTTTGTTTTCATAAAGTCTAGGCCCTATAGAAACTTCATCCTATCATGATTAGCTTGCCAAATTAAGTAGATAGGCTGTTTCTCAACTTGGGCCCAAACAAATTTGGGGTTCATGCCCACTGCATGCATAAAGACATCTCTTTGAATGAATGCATACCTTTGGGTCGACTAGTATCATGTGCACCATTAACACCGTTAATTGTTTTTGACAATAATGAATTGATATATATATATTATATTAATAGAGTCTAGGTGTCATCATTATCATCCAGGCTTTATTCCAATTATTTGGGGTCGGCTATTACTAGAGTCTAGGTATACATCTCAAAAAATGGGGCAACCCACAACTTTGGTGCACTATACATTGTATAAAGTGTGATTCAGGACAAAATTATTCTTATTTTTAATAAGGCCTTCATAGGCTTAAAAAAGGTTGGATGTCATATTTTGGGAGGCTTATGTTATTGGAATGAATTTTATTTTATAAAAGAAGAATATTCTTTTTTTGGCTTGATTTGTAGCCGTGTTTTTCTCCATTATTGTTATTTTACTTGTTTAAGGTTCAGGAAAAGGGTGGATTTAATTTCCCACCTTTCCTTCCTGCATCAAGTGGTATCAGAGCTCGGTTCGAAGATGGTTAGAGATTGCGATAGCTGGTCGTAAAGGTCGTAGCTGTGGGGTGGCCGATCTGATCTGATTGTGCAATGAAATCAACAATTTGATAGAGAGGGGTACACGTTTGTTGCACAAGCGAGGCCAGCAACAACGTGCCATAAACAGAGAGGAATCTACAAGGATAGATTTAGATAGGGTTTTTATACATAATGGTGCGAATCAGAGTCCTACTCAAAGTGGGAGCGGAATGATGACATGTCAAACTACATAGATGGGCTCGATGCGTGATGGCATTGATGGGAGCATAATTTTCAAGAAAAACTCTAGTTCCACCCTTTTCACCCCCGTATTTCGTGTGAAGAGTCAAGTGAAAAGGAAAGCTATAGAAGACCTAGACATGGGGAACATCACTTTACGGTTTTGGATTTGTATGATGACATTTTTTATTTTGACACAGGTTGTATAAAAGTCAGTAGGTTGTAGATTGGGATTTGCCATCAGTCTTCGATATATACCCAGATGAACAACAAGATCTCTGAGATCCAATATGTGATAAGGATCAAATGAAGATGACTATGTTTCCGAAGAGGATCTTGCTCGTGAAGAATATGGAGAGAAGGCAACATGAGGAGTGATAATAATTATAGCCTTTGAAGATCTCAAGGATATCGAAGAGGTGGAGTATTCAAGAGATTTAGGGCATCGGAATCAGAATAGCGCAGCATAAGAGTGGTCGACTCATAAACGACAAAATTGTGACCTTGGATTTAGAGAGTAATGAAATAAATGTCAAGAAAGCCTCTAAAGAGGAGAAAATTGAGTTTGGAATATCGTACATGATTTTCAATGGGAGTTCAAGAATAGCTGAATTCGATAAATTTGGATTGATTCCTCAATATACATATAAGGATCCATTTATTGAGGAACTCCTTTTACCATGAATAATATTTGAGCCAACAAAGAGGAAGATGGTTGAAGGTGGTTTTGATGCTGAATTCATCTAGTACACTTTAAAATTTGAGGACGAGTTTTTTCAACCAGGGAAGAATGATGCAAGACAAAATTATTCTTATTTTTAATTTTTATTCAATTTCAAAAGATTTACAGTTTAATTTTAGTTTTAGGATTTATTCTTATTTTTAATTTTTATTCACTGTTCACAAGTATTGTTCATGTTACCTTTCACATGTACTGTTCATGCATTACTATTCACAGGGGTATTTCGGAAATTTTAGTATTGTTTAGGGATGTTTTAGAGTCTTAATGTTTCCTTGAATCTCAAGTTAACTTTAGGGTTTCATGTCCTTATCAAATGTTGGATTCATATTTTGGGAGGCTTATTTTATTGAAATGAATTTTATTTTATAAAAGAAGAAAGTTATTCTTTTGGCTTGATTTACAGCCTTTTTTTTTTCTCTATTTTTATTGATTTTACTTGTTTAAGGCTAAAGAAAATGGTGGATTTAATTTCCCACCTTTCCTTCCTATATCAAAGTGTTTCCAAGGGACAATAGAACCCACAATTATAAAAATGGTGGGTGATGCAAGAAAACGAGCGGCAGAGGAGAGAGAGGGGGTGAGAAGAATGAGAGAAATGTGGAGGAGATTGGTGTGTGGTCAGCAAAATGTGGGCGAGGAACCCTGGTTGTTGAAGAGGCCTATTGTTGACAGTACCCAGGCTCTGTGGGTCGCCCTGCTTCCTCTTCCTTTGCCAATGCATTAGCCACGTGGTTGGCCTCCCTGACCATGTGGATGAATATCACATGAAGGGCAATTGTGATATAAGGTTAGGAGGGGGTGGACTCAAGGAATAGTTACAGCATTACTAAAGGGGTTCATTGGCCATTAATGGTTTTGGATGGACAGCTAGAGGGGATCTTCCGCCCTCTCTCCTAGGAACAGAGGGAAAGTGTGCAAGTAATTAGAGGAAGATCAATGGGCAGTAGTATGAGGCTTATAACACAGGGAAGAGAGACTAGGAAGGGAGGAGACAAAGAGGAGGAAGTTTCAGAGGCATCACGAAGAAAGTTCTATGAATCACATGGGTAATTCCAAAATGTAAGTATAAAATTTCTCATCCACATAGTTCCACCACAGGGACTTCCTTCCCAGTTCAAACCTTGCCCTTCCACCCCTAAATTTAAGATATCACCACCACAATCCATTCACACCCCTAATAAATGGCCCAAAAGAAATATGAAGTTGAATCCTGAATATGGAGGACAATGAGCCAAAAAAACCTTAAAAAAGCTACAGAGTAAATGTTCAGGTAGGAAGAAGAGGTACCTAGAACTAACTTCAAAAGATAGTTTTGGAATTTATCAAGGGAATCTTAGCAGAGTGAGGGGTTGTTTGGAATTGACAGATTAAAGGTTGACAACAAATGGAAGACCACACACACTAACATGCACATGCACATACATATATTTAGGAGATACTTAAGTTAGCCGATGCTTAAGTATGCCATCTTCATCCAAATTTTGGGGATACTTTTACAAACACTACATGAATTTCTGCAGCGAATAAAAGTAAATTGATTTTGAGCAGATGTAAACCTAGATCTACAAGTGTACCAAGTAGACGGCTGACATCAAAAAAATGGAGTTAACAAATACCCTAACATCGAAAACAGGAGGGGCGGGTGATTTTTCTGTAGTGTTAGCATTGGGACTAACCTAAGGTTTTGCATGTGTGTGTGTGTGCTTGCGTGCATTTGTATGTGCACATGTCTCTCTCTCTCTCTCTCTCTACACACATACACATGACAAGGTCGTTAAGCTATTGCGTTTCAAATATTAATTATATTAATGCTAATTTTAATTATTTTAATGAAAAATTATGCTACATATAGTCACTGATAAAAGAGATAGTGTTACATATGTGTGAATCATATTTTGTTATTTATTATTTGTAATTATTTATATTGAAAAGCATTTTTTAAGGTATGCTTTGAGCATCCTTAGCGCATGTCAGACAGTTGGACATTTGTTGGTGTTCATGTAGCACTGCTCTTTATGTGAGAGGAGGTGCTCCTCCCTGGAGGCATATGGTTATCTTTGGTTTTGTTGTTTAAAAATATTAAATGAGAATTTTCATTTTACAATGGATGCAAACTTGGTGAGTCTTTTAATGAAGGAGTGCTTGGGAAGGCTAAGATAGATAGAATGTCTTCAATCAATGATAACTATTGGAATTTATGTTTCAAAAAGAAGCACCTAGAAATGTAGTCCGAGTATTCTTATAACACATTCTGCCCTGGTGTTCATGGCTCCTGGTATTTTGCTATGCGTAAAGGATTGGATCTATACTAGCTATAGTTATTCTTCTCTTTTTGGTTGTACCAAGTTAACCTTGTACATTCAAGCTGTTGGCTTTTACAGATCCATTCATCATCCATTGCATACTCATCTTTTTGTCAGCATGTCTATGTTTTTGCAATGTAAGTTTTATGAGACAACTTATGATGTTTCCTTTGATCAGTGAATCTGGAGAGCTCTATGCAAAGAAACTTGCTAACTTTGTGGAGAAGCGCCTTAAGTCTGAGAGAACTGCTTCAGTGAGCCTCTTGCCAAAACATTGCTTTCTGTATGATGGTGTTGATCTAGATCCAGCTATCTATTGTCCAAAATGGTGCTGGTTGTGGGATAAGTTCTAGACTCCATTAATGATTTTTTTTATAAATCTGAAGGAAGGAACTATGTTTTTGTTTAATTTTCTTTGTTTCAATTATCCAAATACCTTCACCAGCTCTATGTAAGCTATTATTGGTGGATTATGTTTCTTATTAAACAAAATTCCATAAGAATGATCCTCTCTTCGTGAGTATGGAGTGCATGCTGCATTAGTACATTGGTTGTTAAACTTCTGTATCCCTTGATTTGATGCCTATATTCCATTTGTTTTTTGTAAAAGGATGTAATTCCATTATTAGGTGACTGAAATCTAAATTTTTATTGACATATATTGTGTTTATGTTGTGTTATGGTTACTCCTTAGTATATGAGTGTACAAAGAAATTGTAGGCAATTCTCAAAACTTAAGTTGTGTAAGGGAATCAATTCTCCTGACAAAAAAGTAAATGAATGGGTAGCTTTTGTGCTGGGGTGTCAGCAATCAAATTAGCTTGTTGTTCCACAAGTAAAGGAAATTTCTTTGCAATGGCTCAAATTGCATTTGAGTCCTCTAGTACCTCTAGATGACCCGCCTCTTGTGAGCACTGCCTTCAACAATTAAAAAGAGTTGCACCAAGATGGTCGGCATCATTGATACAGTTAGTTTGTGCTCTAAGTTCCAGTTACATTTGTGAAATCAACTTCGTTTGTGTTTGTCAGTATTGCTTCTTGTGTCCTTGCTGCTACGTAATATATGAGGTTCACAGGAAACTAGAAGGTTTACTTTAATCAACTATTGGCAACCATTTCCTTGAGATACAGCTCTTGTACATATCCAATCATTTAAGGTGAGATCCAATGATCACATCCTCTTGGATAATGTTCTTAATTAAGATGGAAATTGGCCTGATGCACGAAGGGAGATATGTTTTGAAATATTTCCGCAGTTTTTGGAAGCACAGTCCACTATGGAATGATTTCGCGACTCTTGTTGAAGAGTAATATCAAACTAGAACGATATGATACTAGTGAAACCATTAGCATAATCTTAAGAGGATCATTATCAAATGAATGACTACTAATTTATCTTAAACTACTAATTTATCTTAAACTATGGCGTAATGCAAATATATGACTATCTTTATTGTTTCTGATGACTCTTTATAACATCTATGACATGACAGCCACCTTTTTCAGTTGTTTCTCAATTGTAGTAGGTATAAAGCAGTTATTTCCGGTCACTCATACCTTACAGTTGCTTATTCTGCATCAATTTTGTCCATGTTATACTTTTCATGTCTGATTCCTCATGGAAAAAGAAATACTTTTCACAGCTTATTGTTGTACATCAAAGTCATGGCCAGAAAATGGTCTTAGTCAACATATCATTTGTGATATTAACAATGCTCACATAAACCTTGAGTCAAACTATTGATCATAACCACTCCTCAAACAAACACCTACAAGCGAGCAATAGAACATTGAATACCCCATTTAACTTGAGCCTATCAGGTTTAGAAGTTTTATGTTTCCATTAGGTGATTGGATTCTATCATTCTCATATGAATTTGTGATAACCTCTCTGTTTTGCTAGAATATTACTAGAAGTAGGTAAGACACAGTCATCATTGTATTTTCTGACCTACTTTTGATTTTGGGCTTATCTTATCCTGACTCATATTAATCCATATGAGGATATGATTCTCAGTAGTTCTTAAAGCCTGTTACTAGGCCAAACGGTAGCACATGTTTTCTGTTGTTGCTGTCCTAGTAAAGGCCTCAGTGGCTATGTCTGAGCATTCAACCGGTGAATATGACCTTGAGAGGGATGAGCTATGTCATCATCATCATTAGAGCATTATCCCAACTATTTTGGGGCAGCTAGAGATGAGCTATGTCATGTTGCCCTAATTTGATCTCTTGAGGTAGCAAGGAGTATATAGATGTAGTCTCCATGATCATATTGTTCATTTCTTTAAGGTAGTTCACGGTAGGGTTCGAACTTGGGAGGTAGTGGTTGATCATCAGCACCTTAACCAATCAAGTAGACCTCCTTGATTTTTGTCTTTTAGCTTTTAATGTATGAGTACATTTTGCCTGCCCTGTTTCTTCCGAATCCAATGCATTGTTTCCCTTATTTTAGATAAAGGATTATACAAGACATTACAGAGGTGTTTTGATGAAACTTTGCAATCTTTCTTGGTGGAAATGGATCTTGAGAAGTTGTATTCATTTATGACCCTAGCTGTACACCGAAGGGAGACCCATTATTTAACAGATGTTTTCATCAACAAATAGGATGAGGCCAACACTATCGTATTTGAGTGATTGCATTTCTGCAGTCATTATGAAAGAATTTGGGAATCTAGATTGCTTGAAGGGAATACTAATCACGAACAACTCAAACATTTCCATGCAAGAGAGGTTTTTAAAGGTCCTTGAGTTCCTTCACGTCTTGGGTTTTCTTTCTGAGATTTTAGTGGAATAATGAACGATTGAGAGAATTGGGAATACATAATGATAACCTCTGGAAACTAGGTGTTATCCTCTCGAAGTAATCAACAACCAGCAGCGTACTACTTTGGTCCTGTGCTTGCTTTTTAATCATTGGTTCTAATTGTTTCATGGTTGATTCCAGGTCATTTTATGATATTTATTCTTTCTTATTAAATGTTGTCACCCTTTGCTTAAAGTTTACCTTAACTATGCTGCAAACTGTAAACATTAGAAAAGTTTGTGATGAACCATTTGAGGTGTCATATAGATTATGATGATAGTCTTATACATTTCGATTTGTCGAAGACGTCGGGGCATGTTGAGTTGATTTGGTAGAAATTCTCTACCTCTACTTACAGTCATACCTGTGTTCTAGATATGGACAAGTACACTGCAGAGGACAATTTTAACTGCAAGCCCCATTATTGGCTTCCCCAAGGTTAGTCTTTAAAACTTTAAATTTACAGGAGCCTTACATCTTACTTTGGTTATAAATCAATATATATCTACAATGTATCCCGCACAGGCATATTCTAACTTTTGGTTTTTGAATTCCTAGCCAATAATTACATGTAAGCAGATGCTGAATTTCTGTATGGTCCAATGGAAATACCAGTTCATGAAATCAGTGGTTTTGATTGTGCAGATACAATGGCGTGCCCTTGATGAGATAAATGCTGGAGTATGTGATGGGATGACATATGAAGAAATAAAGAAAAACATGCCAGATGAATATGAGTATGTCTGGTGCTGGTGATAACTATTTCCACATAGAATTATTTGTTGCTTAATTTGATTTTTTTTTTTACTCTCTCTCTCTCTCTCTCTGTGAGCACCAAAAGTAAGTTGTTTTGTTCCTAGTTGATATCTTCCTTGATCCACTATTTCATCTGCACCATTTTTTACAATATGTTATACTGATTCTAACATTCAAATATTTAATTAGTTGAACTAAATCAAGAAAATAGGTCCAAAAACGTTCTGGCAAATTGTAGGTATCGTGGTTGATGTCATTTTTATGAATATATTGCTATTGATGAAGGGAGAAAAAAAAAGCGCTTGAAGTTTATCAAGCCTATTATATAAAGTTTGGGGAGGAAGTTTGGTCTTAATCATCATTTGGGTATCTAAACTATTGTATTCAAATCATGTATTGGAATGCCCATCACTGTTATTTACGTTCAGTGTTATAGCAATAAAAGTTTGTTGGGTATTAAGATATAGGAATCTCCCTTGCATAGATAGTTACAAACCATAGTTGATGGCCAAAGGAAAGCTCATTTTAAAGACTCCAGAACATACTGAAGATTCATAAGAAAATTGATGTACCTTTCTAATTGCTCTTATGGAGGCTTTGTAGTTGCTATCATGATTAGTTACATGCATAAGCCAGCAATATATCTCCCACATTGTCCTCCCATTGAACCACTTGTATACATGGGTGCATAACAAATGAAACAATATTCTTGTCAGTTCTGTAACTTCTGTTCTCATCTTTCTCAATACCATCCTTTTCTCTTGAGCAGGTCACGTAAGAAGGACAAGCTAAGATATCGTTACCCCAGGGGAGAGTCATACCTTGATGTTATTCAAAGGTAGTAGCTGGCTTCCCTTACTTTATGCAAAACTAAGTGAAACTAAGCTATACATTCTTTCTTATTTGATCTCCAGAATTAGGTCTTCCCTTAAAGTGCCACTTTAATGGCTTGCTTCTCTTTTGTTAGGTTGGAGCCAGTAATTATTGAACTTGAACGTCAACGTGGTCCAGTTGTGGTCATATCACATCAGGTGGATGTAACTTGTTTTGATAAAGTCACTTCAAGTGGATATTCCCTGTCAATTGGCATGCCAATTTGATGGCGGTTTGGGTTTACTATTCTTGCTTTTAACGTCTTGCAGGCTGTACTAAGAGCATTATATGCTTATTTTGCTGATAAGCCATTAAATGAAATTCCTCATATAGCGGTAAGATGATTTTAAAGTTGATTTTTTCTCACGTGCACACGCACGTGTGTTTGTTTGTGTGTGTGTGAGAGAGAGAGAGAGAGAGAGAGAGATTGTTCCTCATCATAACCGGAATTGCGTTGTCAACTAGGTACCATTACATACAATAATTGAGATAAAGATGGGGGTCAGAGGAGTCCAAGAGAAAAGGTACAAACTGATGGATTGAAGCGATCACCATAATGAAAACAATTGATTTGGAGCCCTACGTAACCAGTAGGCAACTGCACTTCTTTGATGCGATCGTTTGGGGAAAGATGCACTATACGTATCATGCATATGGCACGAAGAGTATTGGCTTATTTCTGACATCTGCTTGAATAATGGATAGCTGTGATTACCATTCCTTCTGCGTGAGAGACAATGTGCAAAATGAGGCACTTTCCATATAATTTACTTTCCCATTTTCAATTCTTGATATGTATATAATGGTTAATAAATTTTGTGGACCTGGGGAAAATGCCTCCCTGCATTGTATCGTGAATGATAGCCTATCTGGTTTTGCATCTGGTGGACTCTATAAACTCCCCTGGAAATTTTGTGAGTCTTAAAGAAACCACAGTGAAATCCTTTGCAATTTATTTATAATTGTCTTTTGCAGCTTCAGAATCCAGAATTCACCTTTCTTGCCCTTAGGATGTCTTTCTGTTTTTTTCTTTCTTGTGAAAGTAGCAAATGAACTTCACATTGGATCCATCGACCTGTAAAATTTCGATCCAAAATCCATTTCAGAAAGGACATTTTTGAATAGGTGCTTTGGTTGGGGTATCAAAACCCTAACCTGTTATATTTATGGCTTTCTAATTGTTCTTTAACACGTCAAAATCAACAAAGGAGCTGTGCTAATCTTTAACTTTGGACCCATTATTGATACTTCAAAATAACTGACTATTATGCCAGTGATAGTTCTTGGTCGTTATAATGCCGTGATCTTCAGTTCTGAAAGCCATAGATCAGGCAAGGGACTTCATACTCTTAGCCATTATGCTATGAGCTAGAACATTGTTCACTTTAAATTGTTATGGTATGAGCAAACTTAACGTGGGAGGAGAGAGAGGGGGAAACTGGGTTTTATTATGAAAGGTTTGTGTGGGAGGAGAGAGGGGAAACTAGGTTTTATTATGAAGGGGTTATATTTTATAAAGTTGCTTGTTTTTGAAATAAGATCGCATATCAACTTTAGCTGTCAATTTGGTAATCAACATTCAGTAGGTTATAGGTATGCCATACCGTTCAAAAAAAAAAACAAAACTTTTTGAGTATCGTACACATCTAATTTTAGATTTAGTGGCTTGGGGTAATTGTGACCATCTAGCATTTTGAATGAATTGGACATTTCACACCAAGCTTGTCTAGGACTTGGTTTCTATGTGGCCAAGCCTGCATATGTAGGAATACGGGCCTCTTAATAAATCTATTTTTTATATGGATTTTAAGGCTTAATTTTTAAGGACATGTAATATCTAACATGGAGATCATGAATTTGAAAAATAATTAAGTTTTAAAAACTAAGAGTAATAATTCTAGTACGAAAACATTTAGACGGTTAGTTTCCATTGTTTTTAAATGGATCACCAATTTGCATCCATCTTTAAGATAGATGCTTTGCACTTTCTGGATCACATATGTAGATATACGGTCCAGCCTGCATGAAATAATTTTCCGTTAGTATAGGTCAAGAATATCGTTTGCTGCTCTCTCCGTAGCAATTAAAGTCATTGGATCTAATTTCAATAGGTAGTTTTTTTTAAGTTAATGGTGAAAATGGAGGGTGGGACGTTTTGGCTCCCCCAACCACCGATGCCCTAACACCATTCCCTTTCCACATGGGCGTATTTGATGTCTTTCTGTGGACACAAAAGGGATTTCCGACTACCTTGATTGCTTATTTGGATTTTGAGTGTCAATTAGTGACTCAAAACCTGCGTGTCAAATAAAAAAAAAGGGATTACTTACAAAGAGGCCATTTATATTATGTAGATGGAGGTCACAATTATTTTGTCTTTTAAATTTCAAAATGGACAGTTGCAAGAATATCATTGAATACACACAAAGTTCTAAAAAAAAATTTGGGATTTTGCAACTCACCCTAAGCTATCCAATTTGATATTTGTAAGAATATCATTGAATACATACAAAGTTCTAAAAAAAATTTTGGGATTTTGCAACTCACCCTAAGCTATCCAATTTGATATTTATTGAATGTGAATGATTGTGATCTCATTATACAAAAAATAAATAGCATCTTTGTAGATAATCCTATAAAAAAATGTGCACTATGATTGTCCAAAAAGCATACTTTTCTTTAGGAGTGAGGTGCCAATTTAAGTCTCAAATCATGCCCCCTCCACCGGACCCATTACAGCTCAGAGCCGTCACAATCACCCCCTCCAAAGCTTCACAAAATCGACATTTTTTCATTCAGTCACTTTTTCTCTCTAAAAACACACGCATCACTTGCCAAACTCATAAAGAGACTCAGAAATAAATAGTGATGCCAAATTCTCTCTCTTTTGTTTCAGTTTTCCTAGAGAAGTCACCATGTTTTCTCTCTCTTGTTTGATCGTGGTGCACCCCATGGTGGCTCAAGCATCATGAAGTTTAGTAGAAGATGTATTATTTCATATGGTATTCAGCTCTAAATTTTCTTCTCTCTCTACTGTGTTTGATGTGCTATGAACAGTTGACAATCTCTATCCGATTCCCGTGGTTGGTATATGATCTAATTGTGATATTGGCTAGAATCAGGAGAGAAAAATTTATCAAGTATTTCATCTTTGGACATTCTTTTTTATTTTTCATTTGGGTTTGGTGAGGTTTTCATTACCATTTTTTAGAGAGATGTTGGGTGATGGGCCGAGACCAAACGTTTGAACTTTCAAAAATTTGCTATTTTAGTTTTCCAAAAGAGGCGATCTTCCAGTAATGTAGTACTCCCCTGTTTGATAATTGTCTTATATTTCTATGGGGGATCATGAACTTAGGATATCCACTTCCTTGCAAGATGGTTTCCAAAACTGCGTTTTTCGAAAATCAAACATGCCTTTAGAGAGAGGGAAGAGTTTATGGGTGTATTCCCAATATTTTACCTATAGTACTTTTATAAATTCTAAATGTTGTTGTCATTTACAATTAGTTTGAAGCCTTAGCGGTAGTACCAAAGAACCCTATGATGAAACCTATGACACTATTTTAACCAAAAGAGCAGGGCCCAAATCCCCATTAACTTTACCCTTTTATAATTCACCCAATAAAAACAAAAAATTGTTGTTGCTCACAGTATATACAAAATCAGGGTTCAAATCAGTTCTTGTTTGAGTAGGATTGGATCACCAATTTAGTGATTCTTGGTTAGAAAATTCTAATCCCAACCATTTAGAGAGAAAAGGAGTGATTGTTGTGATCTAAGGGTGGTTAGAAGGAGAAAAAAACGTCTCAAAGAGAGTGTTAAAGAGAGGAAAAAAAGTCTCAAATTCACTTGTCAAATGACCTCAATTTACAAAACATAAAACGAAAAAAAAGCTCATGTGTTCGACTCTGAGGGGCATTTCTATAAAAAAAGGCCTAAAATAAAATATTCGCTATAGAAAAAGAAAAATAGTAACAAAGCATTGGATATAATAACAAAATTCGTGGAAAATACTATGCGTAAAAACTTTAATCTGTTAGATGTGAAATCCAATAGATAAAAATATTAAGCGAAACTGAGATTATATACTATGAGACCATCTATATTTTGTACATTGATGTCACAATCACTTTTACTCATTAGATATGAAATCCAAGAGGTAAAAGTATCTCACAACATTTGATAAATTTTATTTTGGACGTCGTTCCTAAACAATGACATATCCTCAACTACCCAATTTCAAATCCAACGGTTAATGATAATTGTGACATCTTTTGTATCAAAAGTAAATGTCTCATGATATACATTTAAAAACTTTAATAACAAGAATTTATGTAATGAGTCCATGCTTATTACATGGTGGTGGAGACTTGCTAACGACATGGATCAGCTTTGGGGAAAAGTCATCAGTGAAAAATACGGGAGGGATCTAGATGGATTTATTGCCAAAAAGTGTACTAGACTGCCCAAACTCTCTCTAGTCTGGAAAGGGATTCATCAGGTCATGTCGCTTTTTTTGGCCTATTCTAGAATTCTAGTTGGGGATGGAACACTAATTAGATTTTGGCATGCTAGATGGTTGAGTGAATACCCTCTCAAACTGGTTTGTCCTGATCTTTATAACAGATCAACACAAAAACAGGAGGTGCTTGCGAATTTGATTTATGTTTTGGGTGATCATCTAGTTTGGGATATCAGGATTATACCATCGATGAACAGTTTTAGGCACTGCTGGCATCGCTATATGCTTTCTGTTAATATCCAAGGAAACTAGATAAGATTAATCTGGTCCTTGGAATCTAATGGTCAGTTCTCGGCCTCCTCCTTGTACCATGAGATCCTTAGAGACCGTTATATTGATGACAGGCGGTCCCTTGCCAAGCTCTGGAACTGCAAAGTTCCCTATCGGTTCAAGACCTTTATATGGCTTCTCAGCTATAAAGTCTTCTCACTATTGTTCGGCTAAGGAGAATGGGGTTCATGCTCACTAATGTATGTTTGCTTTACAAGAATGATGAGGAGTCTATTGACCGTCTCTTCATTCACTGCCATTTTGCTACAATTTTATGAGATTGGTTGTTGAGCTCAGCAAACTGGATTGGTCCCAGACATGCCAAGACAATACCTGGTTACAACAACTATGGTCCCCTCCCTGGGTATCCAACTTTGGAGGATCTCGGTTGCAGTTATCACTTGGAACCTTTGGAAAGAGCGTATCTTGAGAACATTTGAAGGGTGCAGTAGAGAGTTGCGATCTTTTTTGGAAGCTATTTAGCGATCGATCATTCTCTGGGCATATACTTTTCTTCCCCTAAAAGTTGTGCAAGGGATTTGACTTTCTCTAATTTCTCTCAGTTGATTCTCTTCAAACCCACTCGCACCAACAAATGGTTTGTTTGGGCTGCGCCTCCGGAGGGGTTGGGTTAAACTAAACTTCGATGGTAGTGTTTAAGGGCCCCATTGCTGAATATAGGAGTCTCCTTCGAGATCATCTCAGTTGAATTCTCTGGACCTACTCGGGAACATTGCATCAATGTGAGGCCAATGAAGCTGAGCTCTGGGTGGTTCGTAAGGGTGTAACCCTCTTGGACCCTTCTTGTTGTAAAGTTATTAATTGAGGGTGACTTAGCAAATGTCATTTCTTGGTGTTCATGTCTGGACTCCACCCCTTGAAGATTGAGCGGCGTTATGGACAAAATACTGTTGATGCTTTCAAGATTCGAGGTCTTCTTCGCCCATGTTGTTCGGGGATTTAATTCGGCCCCCCTTCTTTTTTTCCTTTGTATTCTTTTCTTCTTGTAATTTCATTATCTTAACGAGGCTTACATTTTTTCAAAAAAAAAAAAAGAATTTATGTATGGAAAATATTTTGATGGGGCGGTAACTTTATCAAAAATAGTGAGGCCTCACCTCATAACTCATCAAAAATTACAATTCAAGTATTAGAAAACCTTTACATCAATCATCTTGGCTTCAACATTATGGTTGTGAAAATGAAATAGGATTTCAAGCTCTAAAAATAAAATATATTATAACAAGGATCCGGTTTCTATGCGGCCAAGCCCGCATATGTAGAAATGCGGGCTTCTTAATAAATCTAGTTTTGAGATGGGTTTTAAGACTTAATTTTTTATGACATATAATCTCTAACATGGAGATCATGAATATGAAAAAATAAATAAAATTGTAAAACTAAAAATAATAATTGTAGTAAAAAACATTTGGACCATTAGTTTCTATTGTTTGTAGATGGAACACCTACTTACATCCATCTTAAAGATGGATGCTTTACATGAAATGTGCTTTACACGAAATGTGGTCTGGCCCGCATGAAACAATTTTCTTTATAACAAATTATGTAGATCCTCTATTTGGCCTTAAAAATAAGCATTTATAAATCCAAGATCTGTACCACTTTTTTATTTTTAAATTTTAAATTTTATTTTTGATATTGAAAATTGATTTTAAAGCCATCACACATATTTTTATTACTGAAATTACTTCCCCAATGACTTACTAACCTCATCGTTTGTATAATTTCCCAAAGTTCTTGCTTGTGAGCAAGAAAAAACCCTTAAACATCCACACATGCACGTATTTTAACTTGATGAGGAATTTATACTACAACTGCCATCGTTGGAGAAGTGGGCCCCATCTTGTTGACATTGAAGGCATCGTTATTACTTATTACCACCGCCGCGCCCCGCCTCTATGAGAATTCAGAAGCTCATACTTTCAACCTTGCGGTACTCAATATTATGGTACGACTACGGCCTCGTAATAACTTGCCATTAACTTCTATAGTAATTAATGCCTATATCTCTCTGGAAAACTCTTCTTTTAAGGAAAATGTTTTCATAGGGCTGCAGCCCTACGATAATAACTTGGGCTACAACCTCTACGCCACTGGATTTGAAGTCAAACAGGGAAACCTAAAGCCCCGGTTATTTTAGCTTTTGAAAAAAGATTTTCCTATTTAAAAAAAATTTATATAAAGATGCTACTTTGTAATGTAGAACTACAAATATCCTTAAAAAATCCAACGGAAAAAATAGTTTTAATGTTGAAAAACCTTTGATTGATCATCTTGGCATCGAGATGTATTATTATAAAAAAATAAAAATAAGTCTTAAAAATAGTATATTTTACAACATATTATCAACACCGTCCATTTATAAAATTTTCATATATTTATAGATCTACTTGATTTTAACTATTTTTTAAATTTAAAATTTTATAATTAAATACAAAAATAAATTTTGAGATAATCTTAAACATATTTTACATCAAAATTATATACTATGATAAAATTTGGAAGTTCACCTTACCTCTACACGTATGGATGCATATGCCAATTGCACCTTTTTGTTATTCCATTCTCTCTCTTGAAGCTTCCGTCTCCCTCTTTCTCCTAATTTCATCCATTCTTTAAATCAGGGGAGATTAACCGAGTTAATTAGAGGCTTGGATGATCGATCTTCTTTCAAAAGATCAGCAAAAATCCAAACTCTGCACAGTGTAGGCTGTTGGATATCGACATGGTTTACTCAACCGCTCTTTTTTTAAAAAGATATTGTTGTGATGGGAGAGAAATTTGGGGGTTCCTCGACCGCATTTGCAGGATGCAGAGGGACGGTGAACTTGGAAACGAAATGGTTATGTGTATGGCGTTATAGAATGCAAATGGGAAAATAATTGATGTTGAAATACCACCTGTTATGATAGCTACCACCTAAATATAGTAGGTAGATATATATTGATAAGGTTATTGGTGTTCATGTCTCTTGATTATGATGAGATTTGGTATTTGTATCATGTATTTATCCGCTAGTAACCGTCACGACTAACATTGAAGAAAAATGGTGTAGACAAGGTCTATGCAGGTTTGGTTTTTTTTTTTTTTATCTTATATCTATTTCTAAAAAAGATTTGGTTTTTATGTGGCCAAGCTTGCATATGGAGATCATAAATATGAACAAAAAAATAAATTTTAAAAAATAAAAATAATAATTCTAGTAAGAAAATATTTGGACTGTTGTTTAGTTTCTATTGTTTTCAAACATACATCTATCTTTAAGATGGATGTTTTACACTTTCTGAACCGCATATGTAGAAGTGCGGTCCAACCCGCATGATAACAATTGTCCTTCTAAAAATGGCAAAAACCCTGTAATTTAGATTTTAAAGCTCCGAAGTTTGTCGAAGTTCTTTCAATGTAAACTTTGCAAAGTCTAAAGTTTTTATAATGAATGAACAAACTTGGATTTTCAAATTTTGAAGTTTTTGTTGAAAGACAATATAAAAACCAAGTGTGACGGTATAAAACAACATCAAAATTTCAAAATCCCAGGTTTGTTTGTTGAGCGGCAATGCACAAACAACTTCCAAGAAAATCCCAAGTTCTTCTTTGGAGGCAAGGCTATTTTGAATTAATCGAACCACCAAAGCCTGAAGTTAGGATATTTGCAAAACAAATTCAAAATTAGAGAAATGGGTAATGAACGTAATATTAACTAGCGTTTGAAAAGTCAGCTGAGGAGTTTCCACTCAGCCGAGTTACTCAGGCTTGGGCCCTAGCTTAGCCCGAGTTGTTCAAGTTGGAGGTCTAACTTGAAAATCTTAAAAGCTTTTTTGTAAAATATTATTAAAATTCTAAAAAAAATTGAAATATATTTATAACATATTTATTTATGTTTTCTATCAGTTTACCACAGACAGGAAGCATTTTGGTCATAAATGCTTATTTTTATATTTACATCTTTTTTTAAAATTTCAAAAATACCTCGGTTATAAACTCATTTTTTAAAAACTATTTTTTTTTTTTATACTTTTTAACCATAATTAGTTGTATTTTACTAAATTTTATTTAAAATATATTGCTCCTATTCTTTGAGATTTTTTTTATTTCTTAATGATTTTTGGGCGCTATAGTAGTCGGTCTACTGGGGGCATGGGCTGAGTACTCAGCCCGAGTTGACTTTTTATATTAGTAACTTAAAAAGGATTTTTATAACTGGGCCCGAGTGGACTTTTCTAGTAACTTAAAAGGGATTTTTATAATAAAAACAAATTTACGTAATTTTCTCTGAAGTACTCGATATTTTCGGTGAGACCGCAGTCATATATAAACTTTTGCCTTTACGCAAACATGATTACCCACTTTAACCAGTAACTAATACCAGCTAACGCCGCATCTTTATATCAAAATCAATGACCTTTCCATCTACCTACTGCCTCTCTCTCTCTAGTTTTTCCACTCTTTCTCTCTCTACTGTCATCCATATTCCTCTCTTTCTCTCTCTACTTTCTCTCGCTAGTTTCTTTTTCTCTCTAACTTTTTAATGAATGTTTCCATGCCGCCTGATGGGCTGCTTTTCACACCATTTCATTTCCCCGCTAGTGTTTCTTTGAGTTGTCTAGCTCACTAAAGCTTCAAACTCAGAAGACCCAAGATTTTTTTTTGATTGTTAACCCAGTAAAACCAGGTTGGAGAGAGAGAGAGAGAGAGAGAAGAGAGAAAGTTAGAGAGAGAAAGGGGAGGTGGGGTACACAGAAATGCTCTCTGGGTCCTGCTCATTTGCTCATTTTTATCGTACCTGCCTCTCTGTAATAAGGCCATTACAACGTTTCTTACCCTGAAATTTCCATTACCAGGAAGGACCAATTCGTGTAGTGTTAGGTCTTTGGCGTAGAGAGAGAGGATGAGCAAATGGAATTCGAAAGGTAATGTTGCAGAGAGGAATGGGAGGAATGAGGAGATAGAGTGGGAGATGAGGCCTGGTGGCATGCTGGTTCAGAAAAGGGATGATGGGGTTTCATCTTCTGGACCCATGATCAAGATCAAGCTTTCTCATGGCTCCTACCAACATGACATCTCTGTACCTGCCCACTCCACCTTTGGTAACCTCTCTCTTTCTCTGTCTACCTTCACTCAGATTTTCAACTCGCTTTCTTTTCTGAATTTACTCTCTCTCTCTCTCTCTCTATATTCATTCAGATTTTCATATCCTTTTTTTATTCTGGGTTCATTAAGATTTTCAAGTTACCTAGTTTTCTTCTTGGGTTTACTCTCTCTCTCACTCTCTCTCTAGACATTCAGTGATATTTTATAGTGAGAGTCACTTTGGCTTGTTGGTTTATTTTGGCAGGGGATCTGAAGAAGGTTGTCGCCCAAGAGACTGGATTGGAACCAAAGGAGCAGAGGCTTCTCTTTAGAGGGAAAGAGAAAGATGATGATGAGCACTTGCACATGGTGGGTGTCAAGGACATGTCAAAGGTGATTTTATTGGAGGACCCAGCCAGTAAAGAAAGGAAGCTCGAGGAAATGAAGACAGACCAGAGGATCGCTGACGCCTGGAAGGCCGTAGCTCGAGTCCGGGCAGAAGTGGATAAGCTCTCAGAGAAGGTGAATTGAATATTGATTTGTATTACTTTAGCTCCAAATTTGTTTTTCCTGCATTTGATGGGTAGTCTTTGAAAGATGGTACTTTTTAGTTCGGAGTGGTCAACCTCTAAATTTGGAGGGTACCGCTTTGATTTGTGATGTATAGTATTTATACTCCCTAATCACTTGTCAGTTGAGGATGGTATTTTGAATTGTATCACTTTGGTTCATAATTCACACTGAATTTTTTGAAGACAATAATTTCATCTGTTCGCCTGTAATTGTTGAAGATGGTAATATCCATGGTACCACATTGGTTGAAGAAATCGCTGTGCTTGCAGATCACCACACAGTTGTTGAAAATGGTTATTTGGGTGATACCACCTTGATTCAACGGATAATTAGTTGTACTTGTAATTTAACAGTATTTATCAATAATGGTAATATGGGTGTGGGTGGGTACCACATCAGTTGAACAATTCGTTTCAGTAGTTGAAAATGGTCATCACTTTGGTTCGACAAACCTTTTGTTCCGCTATTGCGTTTGCTTATAATTCACCCAATTTATTTGTCAAAAGAGTTGGCAAAAAAGACAACCTAGTTCTTGAAGATGGTTGCTTTAATCCCTTGGTAGTTGCCTTAGCATTTAGCTGTTCTTCAATTCATCATTAGTTAGACTTGATAATCTGGGTGGTTATTTGTGTTTTAGAGTCATCTCTGATACAGTTTTATGTGGTTTCTGCCAAAAAACTTGGTGGTTTGGTTTCTGCCAAAAAACTTGGATGATAGTATCCATGTGAGAGTGACGGGCACCAAAGAAAAATGGGGTCATAATATTAGGATCGGATTGACAGGTTTCAGCCTTGGAAGAAAAAGTGCAGCGTGGGACCAAAGTTGCTGAAAACGAGTTTGTTGTCTTAACGGAAATGCTCATGATTCAACTGCTGAAGTTAGACAGCATTGAGGCAGAAGGAGACGCAAAAGTGCAGAGAAGAATTGAGGTAAGGCACCATATTTGTATGCCTTCTTATGAGTGGTAATTTAGTAATATTTTTCTACACTCATTACTTACATGTTTTTAAACGTTTGTATTTTCTGGCTTCTAATGTATAGGTTTTGGCTGATTGATTCTGTTCACATGTGGACATGGGTAGATTCTATTTATGTATTGTTTTTTATTGTATGTTGTATCTGTGAAGACTGGCAAATCTGCAATTATTTAAAAAGTGGGCCCCATGAGTCCTTTTTCTCTCTTATGGGCATTTCCATGGTTTCGCCCTGATGTGTTTGTATTATTTTTTGAAGATCATAAAATCTGATAATTTTGTTAATACCCTCCTAGAAATAAGATGTTATGTTTCTAAAAGTAACACAATAGAATGTGACTGATACCTTGTTTATGACTTGAAAATCTAGCCTTCTTTTTCCAGGTAACTTGTTGGTTCTAATCATCAACCATCGGGCTTTTGCTTAAAAGAAATTGTTATTGAGAAAACTATGAATAGTTTAATAGACATGTTGATTTCTAATATATCGAATTAATAATGTGAAGTTAACAAATCAAATGGAAAATTTGCAATGGGCAACTCGTTCCTTTGCATTTCTTAATCAATGAATTCAGTTATTACCTGCGCTCAACAACTATAGAAATCACCATCATCAGAGCCTTTTTCCAACTATTTAGGGTTGGGTACACAAATTTTGGTCTGCCATTCTGCTTTATCCAATGTTCAAGAAGGCAGATGCGTCCGCCTAGGCAGCCAGGGGTTTGGGCCACCTAGGCAGGCGCCCAGACACAAAGGTGGCGTGCATTTGGGGGAGGGGCAGTTCCTTGCGGATTGTTAGACCCCCCACACCTTCCCCCACTTTTATTGTATACAGAATTGGCATTTTGTATTTAATAAGCATGTTTTATATATGATATATTGTTTAGAAATCAAAAGTACAGATCAAAAATAAACATACCGACTTTAGAAGATAATGAAATAGTTAAAACTCAAAAGCAACAGTAAAAGATAAAAGCAACTTGAGATGTCTATTATGGTTGGGACAATGTCCATATTTCCGACCCACAACCCAGATCATTTTGTTTACTTGAACTTGAGGAAGACATTTCTCCTACAACCCTTAGCTATCAAGTATCAACATATCACCTAAGCATGAAATTACACAAAAACAACAAAGTCAAACTTGAAAACATTTACAAGAAATTACATAAAAACAACAAAGTCAAACTTGAAAACATTTACAAGAAGTGAAAATTGTAAATACATACACAAAAGCAAGATTATTTACAACTACTAGTCCAAATATTTGAAATTTCAAATTAGTCATCCAAAAAATATTAAAAAATGGTCATTTAAAAAATTACAAATAGGAAATGAAGTAGAAAGAATTGTTACATTGACCCTTTAATATGTTGAGTTCTTAACAATCCCAAGATGAAGTAAAGCATGCACGATCAAGGCAAAAAAAAGGAAAAAAAAAAAAAAATCTAGGTAAAACTTACACATCAAACTTACAAAGATAATAACACCTAAAATCGAAAAACATAACAAAAAATTATGGGGATAAAAGTTACGGTTTATGAATCATACAAGTAAACTCATGCATAATTTTTTTTTTACAAAATTCATGCGTTTTGGGGGCGATGGACTGTTTCCATTGAATTACTTTCCCATATACCCAAGCTAAATATTAAAATGGGAAAACTACCAAATAGTTTTGTTTTTGGGTGAAGAATAATCCAAATAATCGATAACATATCAAATATATATCATTAAGTATCAAAAAGAAAATACAAAAAACAAAGAATAACATCATAAGACATTGTGAACAAAAAATAAAATAATATAATCTAATAAAAAATATTGAAATATACCAACCTTCTTGAAATGGAATCAATATTGGCTCAAACCGGAAAGTTTTAGTTCCCAAATCTCATCTTTTACAACCACTATAAGCCGCAAAAAGATTGGGGATGAATATCTTTTAATTTCGTGAGTATTAAAGGAGGTTCAAAAATTTCGATCTCTCTACAAATCTTTAAATCTTATTTTTTTTAAGGTTTTTCTCACTCTAAACATAACTAAAAATGTTTTTGGGGGCAAGAATGGCACCCAAAACCCTTTTCCTCCCTTTTAGGGGGGAAAATGACGAATTTATCCAATTGCCAAGGGCCATTTTCCACCCTCAGTCTTGATTTGTCAAGGCCGTGCCTAGGCGCCCGCCTTTTATTTTGCCCAAGCGGGCGCCTAGATGCACCTGCTTGGAGCATACCTCCTGGACGGTTTGAGAAAAATGGCCGCCTAGTTGGCCAAATTTTCATTGATTGGCTCTATTAAGGGGCATATCCTCAGTGAGGCCATTAGTCCCTATCAGTGTTCACAAAACCGGGCGATCTAACCGCTAACCTCTCGGTTAGATCGGAATCGGCCACTAGCCAGTTCCGATTTGGGCTGTTCTGATGATCAACTGGTATTTAAAAAAAATTTCAAAAAAATGCATATAAATTCCCCAAAATGAGGAATTTTATTTGTAATGCATTTTTTAATATTCTTTACATTATGTTTAAGATTAAAAATTGTTTTGATCACTAATGCTCACTGTTATGTTATGCGGCCGAATCAGCCGGTTTACCGGTTAGGCTGATTAAATCGCTTTCGGGCCCATATCCGGTTAACCGTTCGCGTTCAATTTTGCGAACACTGGTCCCTATATATTTTCTCACTACTTCCAATCATGTCCTTTTAGGATTATTATGTTCTTTTAGGCTTACCCCTTTCCCTTTTTGAGCATTTTACTTGAACCAACTCGTAAATCCTGACAGGTGTTATACTGGATATGCGTTGCACATGCCCAACCCAACTAAGTCTACTTTCTCTTATCTTATCATCTATTGGAGCTGAACTTAAGTTCTCCCTAATGCATTCATTTTGAATTCTATTTCTATCCCTTTTTGTCTTGCCATTCATCCATCTCAACATCCTCATTTAGCTACATTCATCCTATGAGTATGTTATTTCTTGACCGCCAAACATTCTGTCTTATAAAGCAAAGTTGGTCTCACAACTGTCTTATAGAACTTCCCCTTCAGCTTTATTGGTATGCAGCGATCACATAGAACTTCAGTTGCACATCTCCACTTCGCCCACCAGCTCTAATTCTATGTGTGACATCATCCTCAATCTCTCTATTTTTTCGGATTATCGACCTAAGATATCGGAAGTGCGCTCTTTTTAGTATTTCTTGGTCGTGAATATTAACTGTTCCTCATCTCTACGCCTATTGTTACTAAACTTGCATTCTATATATTCTGTCTTAGTTTGGCTAATTTTAAAATGTTTAGATTCTAATACATCCCTCAAAAGTTCTAACTTTGTGTTGACACCGCTTTGGATCTCATTGATCAAAACTATGTCGTCTGCGAACAACATACAATGGTATATCATTTAGGAGGGCCTTCACAAGTTCGATCACACTTGGAGTCACAACTTATTGGTGGAAGGGGATGCCAAAATCATCATATGCTGGGTTTCCAACTTCTCCTCATGGCTCGACAACCTTTTTGACAAGATTATGAATTTGTCAAGCAACTATACAATCTCTTGGCGCCATGCTTTTAGAGAAGGCAACTCTGAAGCAGACTGCTTGGCCAAAGAAGGGGCTTTCCTTAATTCTTCTTTATAGGCTTGTGGCCTTTTATCAGTTCCGATCTTTGTGTTTGGCCTTATTTTGGTCCCTTTTGGGCATGTTTGATGTGACCAATTCGGTCACCGTGACAATTATAGTGAATTCTCTCAAAAAATAAGTTGCCCTTAATTAAGACAAAGAGGTATGGGCTTAACACTGATGCCTGATGTAGATCTATTGTCACTGAAAACTCACTCGTCTCTTCACTAGTTCATACACTAGTTAACGCTCCCTCGTACATACTCTCACCAAGTTGATGTAGTATCTGGAGACTCCTTTCTTTTCCAGCATCCAACAAATTAAATCTCGAGGTAGTGGTAGTCTATCATAAGCTTTCTTTAGATTAATAAAGACCATGTGGAGGTCTTTTCCCTCTGCCCTAAACTTCTGAATTAGTTGCTTAAGTAGGAAAATAGCCTCAATTGTTGACCTCCCTGACATAAAATTGGATTGGCAATGTTAAAAAAGGCGTAGGCGTTTTAGGAGGGTGCCTAAGAACATTGACTATTCACATCAAATGTTCACAAAATATCAACTTCATCAAAAGTTTAAGACCATTCACAAAGTATAAGTCCAAATCGGTAAATGTTCCATCTACAAAAAATGTAAAAATGTCAAAAAATAGAACAAAACTGATGGGCCCTATTTCATCGTTATAGGCCCTATTTCATCGTCTGAATGAGGAAATAATCAATTAATCACAAAAAATTAATCTGTCAACTATAAATATATAAATATATCATAAAAGGAAAAAACATAAAATAAAAATGAAAATCAAATGATTCAAAACATAATACATGATCGTTTTTCGCTAATGGGCTTTTGAACATCATCACTCCACCCCCAAGTTTCCTTATCAGAATTTTGTTTCCCTCTAGTTTATCCTAAAACTTCTTTTGCAAAGTTATACCGAGCTATGTATCGTCAAAGTTATCAATGTACATTTTATTGATTGCACTAAGAATTGTATAATCACCCTCTAGCAAACTTATCTAACTATTACATTTGCGATAGAGCTATATGGGTTGGTAGAACATGATGGGTTCAAAACTTGATGGGGGTAATATGGCTAAATTTCGTAAATATAAGGAAAACTTCTTTCTAGTGCCTTAAAACACAAATCTAGCATGGAAACAGACAAGGGGTGGGTCTGAGTTGGCATTCCGAGTAATGTGTCTGACTGTTCAAGACTCGAATCAGAATCATTGTTTTATATCGATCTGGACAGACTCACGCAGACTCGATTCAAGCTCGGGTTACTGGGGACAGGGTCATCCCAAACCCACAGCCAATTCCGAGTGGCGGGTGAGTCTGGCTCTAAATTTCTAGAAACTGCCTCTTTCAAGCTTCCTTATGGGGTTCTGAATCACAAGTTTCTAAAAGCTGCCTCTTTGGAACGTCCTTATGGGGTTAACCGTAATATTTGAAATCATTAAATCCTGCCTTAATGTTTATAAAGTAGTAGTAGATGAAAGAGACCGTAAAAAAACTCAATTATCCCTTTGGTGATCCCATCTTGATTTTCCTTTTGCTTCCTTAGATAATGTTAGTACTCTATGGTCATGGATAGTGTGTGTACCTAAAATGTTAAAATTTTCCCTATTTCTAGTAGTTCTATAAAATTATCACTGGCTGTCTGACACTAATCTCTAGGCTTCGTTTTTTAATTTAGGGGATGGATATCTATGTGATGATTTTTTCAGACATTCCTTGAGTCAAAAGGCATCACCAATATTATTGTCCTTATGCATTGCAGCTGTGATTTTCTGAACGATGGAATGAACAAATCACTTAATTTCCATGACTTTGCTTATATTCACAAACATCCTGAGGATTCTTTTGTTTTTTGTCCTCCAACTCCAAATATTCTTTAGGTTGAGTTTCTCAGTGAATGCTTGGAATTTAAGCTTTAGTGGATTATGGAAGTTCGCTTTTTATGTTGATATGGATATCGATTACCTTGCACCTTTCCACGACCCTCCAATCCAAAATTTTATTGTGATCCATGCTTGAATTTAGTCTGTATCGGCTTACTTGTAGTGTAAAATTACATCACTTATTGACGATCAGAAAAAGAAAAAGGATTCTTTCTTATTGGTCAAGGGTTTCTATTCATTTTGGTATAAGTGGCAAGCTTAATGTTCGATGTTCTTCACATTTTTTTGTGACTTGCACCGACTTCTGATTCCCTCTCTGTGAAACTAAGTTTCCTAAAAGATCCACAACTTTTGCTCATTTCCTGAAAGATTCACAACTTTTGCTCTAGAATTGTATTTTATTTAGTTTTTATAAAATGAGTGGCAGCCCAATTTTTTTTTTTAAAATGGAGTGGTTTATTATATAGCTGTAGCTTGCAATGTACTTGAGCCATTTTTTTTCTTCTAGTAAACTACTTTTCTCTCTTAGTAAGTAATCTGGAACCTGAATAGGAGGGGGAGCAGTTTAAGTGGTAGTTTTCCACTAAGATTTACCTTTGAATCACATGAATGGGAATGGTCCCAATGCATAAGCTTTGCTCTGTGATTCGTTCTCAATATGATAAAACAAGTCTCCTTTTTTATTTGGTCTGGTGTGTGGGGGTCTTGGTTACAATTTTTTCTCTTCCTTTAGTGGCATCTATTTTACCTTCCTTCCTCCACCCACTTCCTAGGAGATGATTTAAGTATCTCCTAGTTATATCAGGTTTCGTTTCTTAGCTTATAGAAAATTTAAAGAGATACAGGTCCTACTTCTGTATTTTGTATTGTTGTCTCATTCTCATCATGCTAATTTTCTTGAAAATCTCAACGAATATCAGTGGGTAAGTTTTTTTTTTCCCAGTTTCTCATGTAACATACTGCACATTTATGCAATCGTGCTCATCATAAGCTTATCTCAGCCAAGATCTGAATTTTAAAGCCATCAGGGCATTTGTTTTTTCAGAACCATATAAATTTCCAAAATTCTTTAATTATTTTTGTCAGAAGACATAATTGTAGCATTGAATATGTCCATATCATGATCGACATATCTGTTGTAGGATTGTCTTTCTTGAGATTGATAATATATTAATTAAATTTGATCGTGTCAATTTATTAATCAAATTTGATCCTGTGGCCGTGTCATATTTTTGTGCTAGAACTAAATGACAAGAATTTATCCTTATGTTCTTTTAATATGAGAATTTTTTTGTTTTGGAGAGATCTATGAAACTATATTGGTGGAGCTACCAATGAACCTACTAAAAGTGCAAAGTGTAAGTTTGTGATAGCTTAAACTAAGACATTGGCGAGTTTTTGATACTGCTATCAGGTTTTAAATTCTGTTATGATGGACCGTATTGGAGAGGGGCTAGTGCTGATCTATATAATGGTAATGGTCATTGTGATGGATATGAATGGGAAAATAATAGGGATTGTATACAATGAAACCATTTACCTTTGATACAAGGTGGTCACAATTACTTGCAACCATCCGATGTGAAATTTGATAGCTTGGATGTGTCACAAAGTTTGAGAAAATTTCTTTTGAAGTTTGAACTTGGTCAATAGAATAATTGCAGCCACCCAATTTCACATCCAATGGTCAAGATTAATGTGACCACATTGTACCAAAGGTAAATGGTCTCATTCTATACTTTCCCAAAATAATATAACATATAATTTTTAGTTAATGGTATAGATGCCCAATATCACAGCTTTAATAATGGATATATTGGGTTCGGTATTTTTTATTTGGTAAATATTTATTTTATTTAAAAAATGAACTTATAATGAACATAAAGGGTATTCTTTTGGAAATAATGGATAGAATGGGATATATGATCCATGTTAACTTCTTTTTTTGTGTTGTTTATGTTAAATTTGAAAACTTGGGGTATTCGTCTTTATGCCGATATATAACAGCCAATATATTTAAATGATAGAGCTATAGATGACCATAGTGGCCAAATTTTACTTAATGCCTGAAACTGTTACATATATTGATGGGCAGGTCAGCTATTACAACCTATTTCTTTGTGGTTTTTAGTCTGCCAATTTTTCAATTAATGGAATTTAAGGTTGTTAAAATATTTGATCAACAAAATGCTAAAGTTTTGTGGGATCATCTTCAAGTCTATATCTACAAGGATTGTCTTCAAGCCCTATGTTTTCAGACTAACATTGCCCATAACTTCCGATATCTGAATCCCACTGCCAACCTGCCCATAAAATACAAACCAACTTTTCATAGTCTTATCTTGTGGGACATGAAAATAGCCACATAGAAAACAATCATCATCGTCATCATTATCATCGGAGCCTTATCCTAACTATTTGGTGTCAGCTCCACGAATCTTGTTCCTCCATATAACGTAGATTCAGGATTCATGGAAAGTCGTGGCAATGCTTTACGCTGGCTGTTTTCCTGAGCTTGGGACCTGCATGACCTGCAGGGGGCCGGCCAAGGCAAGAGTTTCATTATTTTCAGATGATGAAATTAATAATCTAGTCGTTCATTAATTTCGGATGAGCATTTATTGTTTAAGATGCAAAGCTCTTAGGACTTCTACTATTAGTTGTGTTTTGGTTCATATGCTTTATTTGCATCAAGATCAACTAAAATCATCATCATCATCATCCGAGTCTTTTCTCAACTATTTGGTGCCAGCTTCAAGATTAACTAGAATCTGAACTTCAATTAGATGCAGTTATTTAACATATTCTTCATGATATTTTACAAATTGTTCTTTTGGGATCATTTTCGACCTAAAACTAAGTGTTATGGAAGTAGTTCTGGTCTTATGCTCTCATACACTCATCCTCAGTCTATATGTACTTGAAATGGAAAGCAAACGTACATGATATGAGCATATTTACCACATTGTCTGACTTTCTCTAGGATCCTCAGCAAGCTGGCCAATCCCCTAAATCGCATTGCCTGAAGTGTCTATGGATGAAGCAAAATATGATCTCCATCCCTTAATTGAACTCTGAGGTTTCTAGGAGTAATAGAGATAGTCTTGACAAACAAAATACAAAAGTTTCTTTTCTAGCATGTCATCATTCATCTATGATTCTTATTTCACATGAATAGTTAATTGAAGAAGTTGTATCTTGTTGCTTGGTAATGTTTTTTTATATATAGGACTTGGTTTGCTGAAAACAACTCACCTTGCACTCCACTAGAGAAATTCTTCAGTCGAGAACACTTTGTGTTACAACTGATACTGATTTCTTGGGGTGGCTTGCAATGGACGTTCATTTTAATGGAAAACTTCGCTCAGCAGTATTTCAATGCCAGTTTCCTGTCGTAGCTTGTATCTGCTTTTTAGCATGAGCCATGTAGAACTGTGTAAGTAAATCTCTTCATTTACTTTCATTCCTGACTATCGGCTTATAGATTCTTACACACCCTTTTGAGGATTGTGCAGTGGAAGTGTATTATTGTGCTCTCTCTTTAGGTAGGGTGTATATTATGCTCCCGCCGGAGCATTATTATACACATACTCCCTCGGTAAGAAGATCTATTGAGGAAGATTTTTGCCATCTGAAATTTTGGGAACCACCTAAGAATTATTAGAAACTTATTATCCAAAGGAAAAAAATTGAATTCTATGTTTTCTAGCACATGGATCTCACCCTCCATAAATTGGACAGTCTCTATTGAATCTTGAAATGTTATTTTTTCAAGTGCATAGAGAGTGCAATTTATATTATTTTTTTTGGTATTTTATTTATTTATTATTATTATTTTTTTTATTGAGGTTAAGTCTATGGGTTGAAGAGGTTATGTTGCCAAAGTTTGGGGTCTTACAATTACTCCTTTATTGGGTTTTACCTGAGGGAGTAAATGGACGGTATACTCTTGTGGGAGCATGAAATATTTGGCCATCTTTCGGTATTCTATAACAGTATAACCCAGGCTTGACCTAAGTATATGCCAATTGGTTTTTGACCATTGCGAATGGAACTCCCTTCCTTGCTGTATAGAAATGACTTTGGGAACTCAATATGAGCCACATGGCTGATCTGATTGTATTATTTTATTTTCATTAGACCTTATATCATGAAAAGTGGACTTGAGTAACTTTTATTCTTTTTGGCTTGCTTAACAATAACTAGGCGATTTTGGTAGTTATCTACCCACATTGTGTAAGAGTTATGAAATGAGGACTGGTTTATGTTGGCTTTGGCTCACTTTTGTGCAATGACCCATCTTTTTATTTCTAAGGAGCTCTCTATGACAATTGTCTTTAAATTTTGCATGCAGGTTCGTAGAGTTCAGAATTGTGTGGAGACAGTGGATGTTCTGAAAGTGAGAAACTCCAACCCCTTTAGCAGCAAAAGAGTGGCAGTGACCACTCAGTGGGAGACCTTTGAAACTGGGGTAGGAAGCCTGAGTGCTCCCCAACCCTCCTCCCCCACAAAGATTACGAAGGACTGGGAATTGTTTGATTGATTAACTTTCTTTTTAATTGCAGTGAACTTAAAGTGCAACAAATGTGACTATACTCGACAATGCTTGCATTTCTTGATTGAGCAGATTGAAGCCGGTTAGGGTATCCTTGTCGTGTGACTCACTGTAAATTATGTAACAAACTTTGTTCATTAATACTTGGGTTTATGATTGGGCAGATTGAAACCTGAAGATACCGTACTTTATTACTGTATATATCGACTATTTAAATCATGGTTGGTTGTTTCAGTTGAATAAGGGCCTTCACTTGCAGGATATGTGATGCCTTCTTTTTGGTTAATAATTTAATTTCGTTTCACAAAATCTCAATAAAATGTCAACTAGATTTGTCTTTGTGATCCATTTCAGCAAAGAACCATGAATTAAATCATGTGACCACAACTCTTGTCAGATCCTCAAAGAAACTAGATTTGTCATAATAATCTATCTCAGCAAAGACTTAAAATCTTTTGATTTCTGGACTGTTATCCTTGATCCTTGGATGACTCATTAATGAACGAAAAGGATATGATCAAGGAAAGAGAGGTTCTTTTTACAAGCATGGTTTGGTAAAAGAATAGTATGAATATGTACAGCCACAAGATGACGGCTATCGTGTAATGTGTACAAATATCTTGCCAGAATATACTGCCTGAAAATATTGTTCTGGCCGAAGCGTGAAGCCTTTTGACGGGGGGAGAGAGCTTCATCTACAACTCTACAGTGATACCTCTTGCCCCATTAACAGCATGAGCATTGCGGGCAAGAGGATCGGGTGATGCATGCAATGTAGCATCATACTTCTCGCCATCACCCCACAACGCATAGGCCTCCTCACCATGAATAGCATCATCTCCTATAATCAGCTGCTCTTCAGGCATTCTAAGAGGGATAAACACTCTGATAACAAGAAGTATAACAGTTGTGGAAACGAGGTTCCATCCAATCACAAACAGTGCAGCTACTAATTGCTTGAGGAACTGCATTCCACCATTGCCACCGTAGAAGGCCCCTCTTGAGTGGGTCACAGGCAAAACGAGGTTGCATAGTGTGGGCTCTGCAAAAAGGCCTGTGAGTGCACCACCAAGAAAGCCAGCCACTGCGTGAGTGTGGAAGGCACCAAGGGTGTCATCAACCTTTTGCAAAAGGGACCAGTTCTTGTGGAGAACCATCATTGTGAACCATGGGATGCTCCCTGACAAGATGCCCATCACCATTGCTGCCCAACCTTGGACCACCCCTGTTCACCACTCATGTTAGTCTAGTGACCAGAGAGAGAGAGAGAGAGAGAGAGAGAGAGAGG